GTAGGCAGATCAGCAAACTCATTGGCTGATTCACTTGCAAAACAAGGGGTTTCCCGGGATACTTTATTTTGGGCTTCRGTGTAATTTCTTTTGTACTTATAATTCTGTAATTAGCTTTAAAGGAAAGGTCGCATCTCATGCCTTTCCACAGGTTGCATGTAACTCTTATTTGCTGGTTTATTAAAATTTTACTCATTTATCAAAAAAAAAAAAAAGATGCCTTCCAATATAATAATGTGCAGGCAGTCCGTAATTCAAGATATTGGAATTAAACATTCTAAGCAGTTCTAGAGTTGGAGTCTAATTCATTTTCCCCTGGCTGAGCAAGAGGACATTTTGGGCATAAACTGCATCCTCAGCGGGAAGCATCCAGTAGAAATGCCAACACACAGAGGAAATAATCAGACCTAAGAAAAAAGTCCCGAGAAAAGGCACAGGCAAGACGATATTCAATCCAAGCATATTGTAGCAAATCCCGTAGAGCTTACTAACCCCGCTGGCATATTGTATCTTACTAATCCAAGCATATTGTAGCTTACTTACCACTTCGTAAGGCACCAAAAAATAAAAATAAATAAATAAATAAAATAAAAGAGAGACGCACAGAAGAAACTTTCCCATAAGCAACTTCTTTAGAATGAATAACATTTGAAACTGATATGTCATAGAATTCCAATTGTGTTCCGAGCAAAAACCCCATAAGTGAGGGAAATCGGCATCGTATAGGCCATCTATCAGAATGCTTGATCTCTTATGGCCACAAATGATATGAACAAATCAAAAAGAAAAAAGAAAGGTAGGAGCGGGACAAATGAATCGCTACTCCCCCCTAGTGGAAGTTATAAAAAGATAGAAACAGAATATAAAAGCCAAAACTCCAGTGCAGTAGGAAAGAATGCATGTACGTCGATTTCGAATTTGAAACTTACAGCATTGGAGGAAGTTATACTTCGTAAGATTCCCCTCATTGGAGTTACTGAATTTCCCTGTGTATCGACCAGACACCGATTCAATAGCTTCGTCTTCCTCTTTGAAGCCAAAAACTGTGAGGTCTTTGCCAGAAGACTCCATCATCATCAGTGCAGAATAAAAGCAGTTCCGGGGGAAATTTACACACCCAATTTATAGCATGAGCGATTAATTCACCAAAAACCATCTATCGGGGGATCGGATTTCACCCGTTCATGAAATTAGCGATCGTGTCGAATTCAGACCTGATTGTGAAGGTTTACTGGGAAAAACAATGCATGAAGATAGTGACTGAAAGGTGACCCGAGGAGCGGTCCGAGACTCCGAGCCCATTGGTGCTGCCCTAATTTATAGTGCCGTCGAGTTAGCGAAGTTGTAACTTGTAGACCTGTTCATGGGCCGGGCCGGGCCGGGCTCGGGCCGGGCTTTTACTGTGTATTAACAAATTTTTTTAAGGCCCGAACCCGAGCCCGGCCCTTATAAAAAGCCCGAAGCCCGGGCCCGGGCCCGAAATTTAGCCTATATTATTATTATTATTATTATTATTATTAATGTTGAAGCAGCTGAATAAAGAGAGATAGATTGAAATTATAAAGAAAATAATAAAATATATATATATTAAATTATAAATATATATTTTAATAAATATTATATTATTTATATATTTTATATAATATATAAAATACATATTATATATTTTATAAAATATATAATACTGAGTCGGGCCGAGCTCGGGCCGGGCTTTTTGGACAAATCCGAGCCCGGCCCGAAACACAGTCGGGCTTACTGTGTTAAGCCCGAGGTCAGGCCCGCGGGCCTAATTATATGACCAAGCCTGGCCAGGCCGGGCCGTCGGGCTACCCGGCCCATGAACAGGTCTAGTAACTTGTATATAACTAGCATTAGACCCGTGCGATGCACGGGATGTTGCCTTTCTACTTTCTTACTGTAGTATAAAAAATCAAGTTAAAAAATAATAATTTTAAATTTGGACTGATGAAGTAACTCACATTAAGTTCTTTCTTACTACATTTTATTATTGAAATAGAACAGTCTATTAAATAAATCTATATTAAATTAATAAAAACAACATTCAATGAAATGAGCAAGTTAGGGGAAACCCAAGGAAATGAGTAATGATTCATTTAGATTGGTTCACCTCATGTATTGGTGGATAAATTTGGGTTTTTAGACATTAATTTATGTCCAAACTATGGTTCATGTTTAGGTTGACCTTTAATCTAACCCAACCCATCTAATTTACACCCTACTTTATTAGAAAGAGCCAAACGGAATTAAGAGATATTTAAGAGAAAAATAATGATTTAATGAGAATATGATATATTACAAACATTGACTATTGAGGAAAGAGAGAGAGTGAGAGATTTATTAGAGTAAATATAGATTTCATGAGATATAATAAAAACACAAAAAGTTTTCAATAATTTAATATAAAAATAAATATGTACATGTATGATAAATGAGAGGAGGAGAAAATGCATGCATTGTGGTGAAAGGACCCCATCTCCCTTCTTTGCATCAGACAGAATCCAAGCACACATCGGAATATCTTCGTACATGAGAGTGTGTACATAGTTTTTGCTTGCTGTGCGTGTAAATTTTCGCAACAAAAAAATAAATAATGAAAATTAATTAGTATATGTTATCAAAACATTATTAGTCTATGGTGATTTATAAAAATTCAATTTGAATGTTTGAAAAATAAATATTAATGGAATTGTGATTAATTGGTGGGTTTATCGCCTTTCGATTTAGAAAACTAGCTTCAAAACACCTAGTTTTGTTTGTAGTTTATAGTACCGATGCATATTTTCAAATTGCACATCAATTAGGCAGTTAAATTGATATTAATCTATCACCCCTCACAAATTTCTAAATATGTTTCTATTCTTTTATTTTGTAAACAAATCAATTGGTCACATTAGTTGACCTACCACCTAATGAGTATTTTGGGTCCATTTACCACCAAGTTGCTTGTTTGTAAAAAAACACTTAGTTAGCAACATGGTGAATTAACTAATTAAACCACTAAACCGTTTGACTCAATAGTGGGGTCACGTGTTAGGCATTTAATTTTATTTTTTTAATACTTTTAGTATTTCCTTTACATCAACAATAAAAATAATTTGTATTTATTAAATTTATTATTTTTTGTATAATGAATATTGTTGAAGTAGGAAATCACGGGTTGACCAATTCGATTTAGAGTGTTGGAACATTGACTTGTCACTTGGTCAAATATGGTTTTTTTTATATCTAATGAATTTCATTTACATCATCAATCAAATCCACTAATGTTTATCGTACTTGTTTTTTTTTTCACTACAATTAATATATAATATCACAAATTTTATAAGTTTTTTATTATTCTATATTTTTTTATTCTTAAAATTTTATTATTTAATTATAACATCACAGGGGATCCATTTGACTTTAATGGTTAAACATTGACCAAACACTCAAATAAGGAGATGGTTTCATTTTTTGGGTCAGCTTTGAATTGTGTATTCCATTTTCATCATGAATAAAAATGCTTATTGTTTATCATACTTATTTTTGTTTAATGTGCCAACCCCGTATATAATTAGAATAAGACATGGATGATAACAATGATGATTTTTTTCATGTTTTATCTATTTTAAAATTGTAGTATTTAATTATGGCACTATAAGTTGACATATTTAACCAAAAATGCTGACTTGACTATCCACAACCTGAAAAAAAAAAGATTTCATTTTCATGTTATTTTAAAAAATTGTGCATCTAAACTTAGTAAAATTTAATGATGATAAACAAATATTCCATAAATATAGAATTTAATGAGATAAGTTTGGAGTCATTACATTAAATGTGGTACTTAATGAGGGGAAATAGAATGAATTTAACAGCAGTGTTCAAATCACACGTTCTACCATCACAATGTAGAGAGATAGAGAGGTTTCAAAAAGAGGGGTATTTTTGTCAAAATGATAAGTTTCAGAAACTGGTTCAACCACGGTACAGTAAATGCATGGGACCAACAAAAAATTCTAGGGGTTTTTATAGTTCAATCCATCTCAGAAATCTGACCCCCACTATACAGGTCAGAAGAATCCTACCCGTTGATTGATGCCAAATTCACGGGCATGATGCAGTTTATAAGGTGCTACTAGTAGACTAGGAGAGGGCTGCAATTTCAGAGTTTCTGAGGTAAATTGCAGTCAATTTATCCCAAAATTCTAACCAATCAACCAATATCATAGAAATGGACCAAGTGGTAATCAATCAAGCAATATTTAACAAAATCCACTTGGGATGGGGGGTGATTGGTCAAAGCTCTTCCAGTACTATATCATTATGCAATCATCACCAAGTGAAGGTAATCGGGCTTTACCTCTTTATCAATAGAAAATATGTAGGCCCGAACTTGAGCTCGGCCAGACCATAAGGCCTAGATCTTGAGCCAATGCTCGAAGCTTGACCTCGACCTATACACAAAATGTCTTATTTTTCAATGTACTTTTATAAACTAATATTATATTAATTTAGTAATAATTTAATAAATTAACAAATTAATTGTATTTTCTAATAGTAAATTAATATTTACTAATAATTTAAGAAATAAATATATATTATATATAACATAAATGTTTTTTATTATATGTAATAGTATCGAGCCGAGCTTATTTAAGAAAGCCCGAGCCCACGGGCTTGAAGTTTTGTCCAAACTCGAAAAAATAACGAACTGTGCCATTGGGCTACCCGACCCATGAATAGGTCTAGTGGTGGCAGAGGGGGAGCCATTTACCCCTATGCATTTAAAATTCCCACAATTTCTACTTACATCCCACTTATATTTTGACCCATTTACCCATGTTTATTAGCTTTTTGGCTCCCAATCAATGTTTATTAGTTTTTGGCCCGTCGGAAAAAAAAATCTTGGCTCTTCCCTTTGGGTTTTTCGGATGTGAGACCCATGTTAGATTAACACTTTAATTGAATTTTACTAAATACAATTTGAAAATGGCCCAAGACTCAACCAAAACCAATAGTCTATAAAAAAGAGAAACTACTAATAGAAATTCAACTTGAGACGAAATATATTTTAAACATCTATGTTCTTATTATGGTTTACTAATAGATAAAAATCTAATATCCGATACTAAGTATATGGTGGTCTTTTTCAAAAATAAAAATAAAAATAAAAATAAAAAAGAAAAGTATAAGGCAATCGTTAACTAATAGAACTGTTCACAAAGCTAGGCTTCAGCTCGGCCAATGAACATTTTAAACTGCTCTGCCCATTCAAATTTTGGCAAATGTTCAACCCGAGTGAACATGTCTATTAACTAAGGGTAAATTGTTAAACCTCCTTAGAAGTTTCCAATCATTGCTGAAACCTCCTTAGAGTTTGGTAATTACAATTACCTCCTCTGATCTTTTTGATGCATTTATAAGTAAACCCGCCTCTACTAGAATACTCTAATAAGAGGCATAAAAATGTTCAAGATACCTATGCAATTACCATCGAGGCTGGTTTCTACAAAAAAAAAAGGAGAGAGAATTTAAAGTTGGAGCTTTACATTTGAGCCATTGATACCTATGGTAAATTTGAAAAATAAATCAAATTTAGAAAAAGAGATTGAAAAGGTTTGAGCTAGCAATTCATGTGTAGACAAACTTTGAAAAATAAACATTTTGGTCAAAAAGCAATTGCATGGGTATTTTGTATATTTTATCTCTTTTTAGAGGATACTAACAAAAGGGGGTCTAATTGCAACTATATGGGAGCTTATATGAAATTACCAAATTTCAAGGAGGTTTGAGCAATTTACCCTATATATTAATTCACTCAAGCAAGAAGGAGTCCTTTTTAAGACACATTGTTACCTATCTTCCAAGGGTGATCATGGGCCAGCTTGTCTTAGCAATTATGATAAAGGCTATGGGCAAAGGCCTGAAATATAAGTCTAGGCTGGAGTTTGGGTCTACGCCATTAAATGCATTATATCTAATATATATCAAATTTTATATTTTATAATATATAATATACTTATAATTACTTACTTTGAGAGTAGTTACATCCACTTTCCTTTTAGAAGAAGGGTTTTTTAATAGTTCAGTCCACCCCTAGGATGGAGCTAGGGTTTCTAGGAATGCACTGAATCTTATCCGTGGATTGATGCCAAATTCATGGATAGGATGCTGGACTGCAATTCATGAGAGCACATACATCGGATATGTGGTTAGCTCCACTTTCAAGAAAGAAAATGAAATAACGATTAACCAATTTAATTGAATTTTACTAAATACAAATTATAAAGCTGTGAAATCCATCTAGTCAACCAAAAAAAAAAAGAAAAGAGATATAAAGACATATTTTATTGAAATTTGACTTAAGTTGGAATATATTTTAAAAATACATTTCATAATGTAATTTCCTATCTCAAGTAAAAGATTCGATGCAAACCAGATACCCAACTTAAAGAATTCATGTTGCATCAGGTCTAACTATCCAAGCCATGGTTTTTAAAAATGAACTAGTGAACGAATCGGTCAGGGGTTCGGTTTTCCGGTTCAAAATGGTCTGACCATTCGACCCAAATGGTCGGTTCATTATGACAAAAAAATAAAAAATTAAAAAATTGAAAAACGGTCAAAACCGTTCAAATGATTAACTGGCCGGTTCAGCGATTTGCTAACCAAAATCAATGGTTTTGGGGGAAAAAACGGTTTTGAAAGAAAATGATACCAATCAAGTGATGGTTCCCGATTTTTCCGGTCTGGTTTTAAAAACATGGTCTAAGCCCATTTAAATCTTAATAAGTGTTCAACTTGATAAAGGGATGGGCCGGGCGTAGCACCTATAATAAGGCCTGAGTGTGGGCCTGAAATATAAGATCAGCCCGGGTTTCAGGCCTATAAGTATAATAAAAAAATATGTATTATATGTCTCAAACTAAACGCATTCAATTCATATTTTATAACCCGGCCCATAAATTGTGGGCTGGGTTACAAACGTACAAGTGAGAAATGATGTGCCCAGCCCAGATTTCATGCAAGTAAAAAGTCTTCTCACATATCTCAGCGGTGTAATAAAAAAGGGTTCGAGACATGACACCAGAAAATATCTCGGATATATTTATATTTATTCATGGTGAGATATTCCCAATATAGGATGAGAATTCTATCGCCGCTGATGTGCCATTTAGTAGGGAATTGTAATTTTTCATTTGACTGTGGACTTTTTAGGGAAAATCCGTAAATTGGGAGATATGAGTTGATTTTCCACATACGTAGTTACGTACGCACACCGTACATGCCTTCCCATTGCTACGTAAGGGTTCGTTTGTTTGCACCGACTGGTTGTCTGATATCTAAAGAAATGATTATTTATTTATTTTTTACTTTTATTACATTCGCTTTGTAGTGAAAACAGTTCAATTATATTTTTTTTTGGAAAATTCTTAATTAATACTCTGTACTTTGGTGGCTTAATGCCACTTTGGTCAAAATGCAACAATTTAATATCTAAACTTTCAAAATGTATCAATTAAGCACCTATCATGGCATTTTGAAAAGATACAAATGTCCTTCGAGTATCATCTATTTTTTTTTTTTACGAATAATCCAAATATTGATAAAAAATAAACAGTCCCAAATCATTGCTTCTTCTATTCAAGAAAGTTGAGGTCACTAAAACGTCTCCTTGAGAGGTGACCTAAACTTTCTTATATAGAAGAGAAAAATAATTTAAGATTATTCATTTTTTATCAATATTTAGATGGTTAATAAAATAAATAGATGATACTTAAAGGGCATTTGTTCTTTTCAAATTCTACTTAACATAGCGTCGATAGATATTAAAATTAACACATTTTGAAAATTTGGATACTAAATTGTCACATTTTAAAATTCAAGACTAAACCCACAGTACAGGATACTAATCGGAAATATTACTTTTTTACAGTTTCATTAACATGGACAAAGCAGAAAAGCAAAGAAGCAAACTTTGGCTGTTGACATACTAAAGTCCACAGTCAAATAGTTTACCAAACGCCACCTAAATTTATATGTAGCTCTAGAAAACCGTTGAGCGCAGGGAAGCGACATTAATAAGAAGTTGGTTGACCCACTCACCTAGAACGATTAATGCTTATTTGTTTATTGCTCAATTTTAGTCTTAACTCTGAACTATCAACTCGAGCTCATCGGCCCTCCAAGACTCAACTTCTCAGCGCTGCTATTGGTCTATATATATTACTTCAGATCTCCAGTCTCTCGTTAGTCGTGGAAGGAAAGCTCCAGCTTACAGATTGTTCTAATGGCGGGGTTCTTGTCGTTCATCAGACGCCTTTACTTTAGTGCTTACAACTGGGCTGTTTGTTTTGGCTGGCAAGTTTAATTCTTACGAGTCCAATTTTTTCACTTTCCAGAAGCTGGATTTTTTTTTCCTTATTTTCGTTCAACTGTGTTTTGTGATTGTGAACTATTGAACAACTGTCTGATTGGTTTCATTTGTTTCGATTTGTATGGTCTCAGGTGTCAAGTTTTGTATTTTGCCTTGAAAACTTTGAGGGAATCCGGCTATGAACATGTCTACGACGCAGTTGAAAGACCACTTCAGCTCGCTCAAACGGCGGCCATTTTGGAGGTACTGTAAATTTTCTTCTTAACTTCTTGACACGAAAGTGTTTGTTTAATTTTCTATGTGATTAATCTTTTATTTCTTGTTTCTTTTAATTTTGGCTCAGATTATTCATGGGCTCCTAGGTGAGAAGCATATCCTCTCTGTTTTTTTTTTTGGGGGGGGGTTAACGCTTTTGTGATCTAAGAAATAACCTTTTTTTTCTCTTCTTTTTCTTTTTGATCTGACAAAAGGGTTGGTGAGATCTCCAATTACCGCAACATTGCCGCAGATTGGTTCGAGATTGTATTTGACTTGGGCTATCTTATATAGTTTTCCCGAGGTAATCTCTTTACCATCCATAATTTATGTCGGATAGTAAGAAAAATTTCCACTAACAATATGAAGCTTTTCTTGACAGACTCGGACGCATATGCTTGTTAGTTCTCTGGTCATCAGCTGGTCTGTCACAGAGGTACTAAGGTCTTAGGGTTTTATTTTCCATAAAATTTCATCTCCATTGTGGAAAAACAAATTCATTTGCTTATTTTAATGTCCAATCTCGTGCTTCTGTTGGTAGCATAGGCTAAGGTACATAACATGGGGATACATTGTTTCAAATATAGCTTAAATTTCCCTTGTCACCGTTTGAATGTTATTCCTGTGTAGTTTATGCGTAGCCTTATCCTTAGTGCACTCAAATAGATTTTTTAGTCTTTGTTTGTATTATTTGATTCTCATATCTTTTATTTGATGATCATTTTGTACTTTAGAATTTTAGATAGCATTGTGTTGTACCAATTCACGTGAGACATTGATCTGCTGTTTGGTACTTGCTCAGAAGAAAATCCCTGTATTAGATCTCATGCAAAATGGCAATTTTAATTCTCATTTCTACTCTTGCAGATGAACATGAGTGACACCCAGAGGGGAAATATATATCCATAACATACAATTTCTTATGGCCTGGTAGAAACAGTACACTTAGTTGGTTAATGGCTGTTGTCCAATTTATAATGGTTAACTGATACCAGTGAACTGGAACAAGTGCTTGTAACTTATACAAAAGGGGAAAAGAGAATAAGTGCTTGCACATGGTATCCATTTTTTATTATGCTTTCACATGTCATTGCCATGATTATAGAAACCTAATGCTGGTCTGATTTTGTGATTATTGTTCACAATGCAATGGTGAATAGTTTTTCATGGCTTGTACATGCAGATTATTCGATATTCTTTCTTTGGCATGAAGGAAGCGTTTGGCTTTACACCTTACTGGCTTTTGTGGCTCAGGTATAACTTGTCCAATTAACATGGTAGTAATTGAGTTCTTAGAAGTTATTTCATCAACACCAAATTGATAATATGCAGGTACAGCACCTTTCTGATATTGTACCCAACTGGAATTTCCAGTGAAGTGGGTCTAATATATATTGCTCTGCCATATATCAAGGTGAAGTTCTTTTTCACTATTTACTGTTTTTCTTTTTGACTGATATCATATGGAAGTTTTATTATGATTATATTATAAAAATCATAAGTATGTAATAAGATAATACATTTTCCAACTAGAAAAACAATGAAATTTACAAACATGTACCTCCCCCAGAATAATAGCTAATCCCTCCCAGAATATTACTTGTGTAGATAATTAAGTTCCTCAAAGATTAAATACCAATCTATTAAAAACTAGCTTAAATGCAATTTCTTGGGAAGAATTGCTTCTTGTTTTCAAAAATTATCCTATTTCTCTTCTTTTCATATTCTTCATAGAGACAGAAGAAGGAATCATTTTCCCAAGAACACAAACCTGGATTTCAAAAGGAACACTAATTGCACTGTAAGAGATATCAATCATCATAAAAACATATGAATGAAAGAAGCTTTACAGAGGTGATTTTAAAGCTAAGTTTAAACTCCAATGGACTGATTCTAGTTATTTTTTATCCCTGATTATATTTACTCAAATTTATTAGATTTTATACAAAATATTTGATTCTAAGCGAGTAAATTGCTATTTTCCACTAAATGCATGTGGCAACTTCTCAAGTGTCTATAATTAGACCTGTTCACGGGACGGGACATGACGGGTTTGGGTCAGGCTTTATCTCTATATTAACAGTATATATTCAGGCTCGGGCCTGAGCCCGGCCTGACCATTGGGCCTAGGTCTTGATCTCGAGTCTGGCCCTCATATAAAGCCCGAAGCCTGGGCCCAAGCTCAAAGCTCATCCAGAAAATAAGATTTTTTTTTCTATTTTTTTAATTCAATAAAAAACTAATTTATTTATATTAAAAGACCTCAAAACCCAAAAATAATAAAACATCTCACTATGGCTTGAAAAACAAGAAGGGGAACAAAGAAAATAACATATTATATGTATATTTTTATTATATAAAATACATTTATTGCTATATAGTATATTATGAAGTCGGGCTTGGGTCGAGCTTTTTTGAGATAGCCTGAGCCCAGCCCAAAAAAACTCAGATCTGTTTTTTGGACCCGAGCCTGAGCCTGAGACCGTGGGCTTAAATTTATGTCCAAGCCCAACTTAGAATGGGCCGGGCTGGGCCATCCCGTTGGGCTACCCAGCCCATGAACGGGTCTATCTATAATCATCTGAAAGCCCAATGGATCATTTAAAAAATCTTAATGGAGGCAGTAAGTTGTTCGTTAATGTTTCGGATAATCAAGCTGTTATAATCAATGTGCCTGCTATTTCGGCTTGCTAGACATCATGATAGATGATCTGACAGGCTTAGGTATAGATCCTAAAATACTGAGTTTGAATGTGCTGGTGCATAAGCAATCATACTTTTTGGTTGAATACTAGTATGGCCTACATACCAAGGATTGCAGGCTATACCTAGATATGCCCTGGACATACTATGGATACAGAGTGGTTCCAGGATTCTACGCTGAAGATTGAAGTATCCAACATGGATCAAACACATTTTGAAGTATCTGGGTAACATTAATTATAGCATGGACACTTTTGAGACTTGGAAAAGCTCTTTGTTGGAGAGTAGCGGGTTATATGTTGTTCTTTTATTCATTTAGTGGTTTTTCTTTTCTTTTTTTTTTTTTTTGCATTGTATCTGCATTTTCTTCTCTGCAACTTATGGATAAGACATGGAGGATCCTTGGAGGAGGCAAGTTTTGCTGTAAATATTCCAGTCTCATGTCAATGCATAACTGTGCTGTACTCTCAACTGAGGCTTGTTTTTATTTGGGGGAAAATTACCTTTTGATCTAATGAACTAGGCGATTTTCCATGTAGTTTGAAATACAGTGGTTAATCTTGAAAGGACATCTCTCTCTATGTGCCCCTTCATACAGTACTTAGTTTTAAGAATCCTTTACCAATTTTCAAGAAGAAGTTTAACCCATTCTATCCATGGAAGAAGTTTCATAGTCAGGGTCAATGCATTGTTTCATTATAATCTGTCTTTCATTATGAACATCTTGTCGAACTCTACCCCTGGATCGGCCAATTACTTGGCAGATGATATGGTGAGGGTTGGGTGGGAGAGGAGTGTTCTATCCTCTATATTGGGCACCCCCTTCCACTGAGTGGTTATAGGCGGAGTTCTTTTTGTTTCATTATAATCTGTCTTTCATTATGAACATCTTGTCGAACTCTACCCCTGGATCAGCCAATTACTTGGCGGATGATATGGTGAGGGTTGGGTGGGAGAGGAGTGTTCTATCCTCTATATTGGGCACCCCCTTCCACTGAGTGGTTATAGGCGGAGTTCTTTTTGTTTCTTTATTTGTCTGTAACTGGGCATTTAGGTATTAAAAGGAATATACTTTATCTTTTCCTGAAGATGGGCCTTACCTTCTACTCGGGATTCTGCAGGGATCTGAAAAGTATTGCATAAGGATGCCAAACAAATGGAACTTCTCTTTTGATAACTTCTATGCAGCAATTGTTACCCTTGGAATCTATGTCCCAGGCATGCACCTCTTTTTTTCATTTTTGCTGGATCATACCTTTACAGTTGGCTTGTTGATTTGTTGTTTACTTATTGTTTCTTATTATAACCTAAATGCAGGCAGCCCACACATGTACCAGCATATGCTTGGGCAGAGGAAGAAAGCTCTCTCCAAATCTAAGAGGGAGTAGTCACCTAATAGGACTCTTTTCTTCTTTTTTCCCCCTCTTCTTCCCACTGCCACTCCAAGTTTCTTTTGTTAATCAGAACATCTTCTCTAATGGTTTACTAGTATGGATTCATTTTGGTATTAATTGCCCCAATCTAGCCTTCTCTGTCTGGACTAAATTAGCATATTACATTATTACTTGCCTATTTTTCTACAGTGATGCCTAAAATCCTACAAGACCTTCATACTGATGGTTGTGTCACCATATACGAAAGGATGATGTAATACTATGGTTAAATCATTTCTATGAAAAGATGCATTTGAATCATAAATGATCAATTAATGAAGCTGGTGTTATTGATAAAAAAAAATCATAAATGATCAAATTTAAAATGTATTGTTATAAACTCTTCATAAGAGAAAAGAATCGTATCCGCATTAGAGAGGTTTTGCATAGGTAGCAAGACAGTTTGGGTTTGAACCAACCAACCATGGTTGATCTCAGCCCACCATCAATTGTTCCCATAATTGATTTGTAAACCCAAATGAATGACACCAATCGTGTTAGTTGCATGAGTTATTCTCTCCTTTATATTATTGAGAATGAGTATATCATTCTTCATTTTATTTTCTTCTTTAATTTTTTTTCATTCTATCCCCCGTTTCTTTCTTATAATTGCCTTTATTAGCCCCCTAATCCTATTATCATTCTATTTCTATATATTGCTGTTGGATTGCCATTCTTTTATTTTCTTATTTTTAAATAACAAATGTACTGCTTTCCAAGGAAATTATCCAAGTCCTTGGCATATTAACGAAATTGCATAACATGTTTCAAGTTTGTATTTTATTCCCAATGAAGTGTCATTTTATTAGATTCTCTTTAATTAAAAATTGAAAAACAAAATTATAATTTCCTTCTTCTGGGCTTTTGCTTCTAGATTGATCAAAAATATATTCTCAATGCATATTTTATTTGTTTCCTAGTAAGAATCAGGTGAATTATTGCTTGGCTTGGTGGGCATGAAAGGTTATCATGGTGAAGAGAATTTTAGATTTAGCGTAAAACTTGCATGTGAAGTTACCAAGGTCGTAATATCGAGGCTTGAACTTTTTTTTTTGGAAAAGCAGAAAAGTTGTAAGATCAGCTTGTATCATTGAAAAGTCAAAATTTGCCCTTTTGCTTTTATGTTATGATCTCTAAGAAATATCTATTTTATAATTTCCCCCTTCGAAAGAATCTTCTTGGTACTTCTAGATGTTGTTAAGATTGAACATTCCTTTCTTTATTTAATTATTATTTATTAATATAAGAATTCATAAACAAATGCATTAAAACATTAAAATAATCACAATATATTACCCTATTATTAATTAATGAAAAATTTATTCAAAAGATTAAAATAAAATAAAATAAAATATACTTGGTTATCTAAAATATAATGTAAAAACAGATAGTTATGTAAAATATAACAATTATATTTTAAAACATTTACAAAAAAAAATATTAACAAACTAGAAAATTTAAAAATAATAAAAACATCCGGATGATGAGAAGATATAATTATCATTTGGACCTCTAAAAAACATCTGACCATGTTCACTAGTTGCCCAGCCTCAGAGCAGTTTGGATGCTTCTCTAGAGATAGGAGGTTTGGTTCAGAGATGACACCCAACGACCGAAAACCAATCTGAAACAAAACCAAAATAGAATTTACACTCGGCCTATTTGCACTTCCATGAATTTACTCAACACAGCCTTATGAACTTTTCTTCAACTTTCTGTTTCTCTCTTATTTTCTGTCAAACCAAACTCACACTTTCCTTTTTTTTTGAATTATCTTCATGAAGAAGTTGAAGTGTAGTAAAAACCACTGGAACCAGTTTACTCGAACTGAATTCATTCATCATTATCATCACCATAATTATAATTAACCATAATTAACCATTATGTTATATTCTCTTTATTTGATTACTAATAAAACGACTTTAGTGAAAATGGTATAGCAGAAAAGTTAAACACAGCCTTCTTGCTATCTTTACCTATTGAATTGACAAGTATCAATAGCATAGCAGTACAATGCATGCATCTGGATATATTACAATTTGCAAAAGAAGCTCTCCAATCAAAAATGTTCTTTCAGACTTTACGATGCTATTCAATATATTATCCAATTATCACTTCTATATCAGATTTTGCCAGGCTTCTTGGAAAATTAATGCAGTAAGAAAGCGGAAAATTTTCATTTGTTTACTGTAAAAATGAAAAGGGTTTGGAGCAGAAAACCATCTATTACAAAGCTTCCAGAGTGGTCTTCTATCTACCACTTGTTTCCTCTGATGAGCTTCCAGAAGGAGCTGGAAATAAAAATCTCAGACTTCCCATGAAGGTCCCAGAAATACATCAACTAAATAACCTATCTGTTCTTCATAAAAATTAATAAATAATTCAAGGAAAATGTAATGAAGAATAAAAAATTAAATAAAAGAAATATAAAGGGAAAAAGCACAGCAGTGAAGGCCCTTGGGGCTGCTCCAATAATGCTTTTAGGCTGTGAGGACGGCATCAAATTTCATTCTTCAGAAGCAGCACTGGCAGCACTCAGATCCACAGTAAGATCGAGAGTCTGAAACATGAGACAATGAAATTCATTGATATAAACACTTGTTGGATACTTAATCTTGTGATAATATTCTTTCCATATCTACACTGGAGCTACATCTATTATTGTGGCCACTTTGTGAACCTCAAATTTATAGACCATCAGTGTGCTTAAAAATATATTGTGGACCTACGAAGAATAATCAAGCTCAAGTCCATAACAAGTTTTGTAACCAGGTTTAAATCCAATATTAGGCCTATACCTACCTAATCCCAAGTCCAAACCCAAATACAACCCCATGTCCAAATCCAGGTTCATGATCTATTTGCCAAATCACATTCCTTGGACTATGAATCTACTAATAAGGTGAGGAGGCCAGGCTGGTCCAAGTTGAGGTCAGCTTTGGTAAATTCTAGCTTACATATTTTGTGTTCATAGTGAGAAATGCTTTGAGGACCCATAATTTAACAATGTATATGACACTGAGCAGAGCAGAATGGTTGAACAAGATTCATGTAGGATGTAGCTATAATTTGATAATGGATATAGGTCAAGTTGAGCCATTAGGCCCTTTAGATGGACCAAGGCCAGACAATTCCCAGCCTAAGCTCAACTTTGGGCCAAAGATGGCTCAATCTCAGTCATAGTTTAACAAGCCAAGCCAGCCCAACCCAAACTCAGGCTAGGCCAGTCAAGACTCAACCCAGGGGCCATTTCTTGGTGTAATGGTAAGACTGGCTATTTTGTGCAAGAAGATACCAAATGTTAGATATCCATTGTATCCCTCCTGAGACCCTCAATAACCGGGGTCAACATTGGGTAATGGTGCTACTGTCTTATGTTTCTAAAGTTCATGAACATTGTATTGACAAATGGAAAAGGTGAATCTTTTGGTACACTAAAAAATATGGAAATTGGTAAGGTTAGAATCAGAAAAAACTTGGGATTATGTAAAGTATACTAGAAGATGAAAACCGCGTTTGTATATATATTTAAGCCTAAGAAATGGGAAAGAATTACTGTAATTATAGCATGCGAGTCTAGAGTGTTCCCAGTGTCCCTGTAATAGGGGTCTAATTTATGTGTTTAGTTTAAGCAATCAAATGAAATGGAAAAGAGAATTTCTTAAGCAGTTCATGCCTTTTTGATGTTCTTGCTTCATGTAATCCCTTTCAGAGGTGAGATGCATCTTGTTGATTGGTATGACTTCAAAATTAAAATACAGTTCCAAGGTGAGACTGAAAATTCTAGCTGTAGGCTGTGTGGGTTAAAAGTTCTCCTTTGTTTCTCTTGGCTATCAAATTTAGTTGCATACTTCCATATTATCTCCTCTAGAGATGGTATTGTCCATACTCATTTTTGGCCAACTTCATTCTTCCACGTTGGATTTTTGTTCCCAGTTGCATTTTTGGTATCAGAGCTGCCCTCATTGCATTGGATAGATTGATTTATGAGAAAGGCCACAGGGATTATGAGAACAGCCTTGTGCATAAAACAATGAAATCCAAGGTTTCTTTTCTTCTTCTTCTTCTTTTTTTTGGTAAAACCCATTAAATTACTTATTTAAAGTTGTAGGTTCTTCATTGTGAATTATCATGGCAAACTTTCCAAGGAGCCTTTCTTGTCATGGTTATGAGACACATCATGTTCCACGATGCCCAAAGCAAAGGAAACTATTTTAAAGGCTACATGCAACTTTAGCTGCACATAAAAGTCAAAGGTTCTTGTATTTATTATTTGTTTCGTCAAAAGGAGACTATGTATTTAAATGAAATGTAACTCTAATCAAAATAGAGGATTACCTTTCCAGTTATCTGGCTGTACATGGCAATGACATCTTTTACTGTGGACTCAAAATGTGTCGTTGCATCGTAACTCTGCAACCAATTCCATTTTAATATACAATACAACTGTTAAGTCTCAAAAAAGCAAATAGAAAGAAATCCAGTTTGCATATTTTGTGCGAGGAAACTGTTATAGTGATGCCAAGAGGCTTTGGTATGGGCCACCTGACATCATGATCTATGGGACATTGAAAATTTTAATGTAATTGAAAAATATAGTTCTTACATAAAGAAAGAGAAAAGTGAAGGGGAGAAAGCAAGAAAACAACTATTCAGCTCACAGCAATGATGAAAAGGTGCCCAACTTTGGAAAATTCATTTTGGAAAACAAGGCATTATTTGGTAACATTTCCTCCATTTTTCAATCTCCAAGAATCAGAAAATAGTTGTTTTTATTGTTCCCCTGGAACAGAAAAGCAAGATATCTTTTTTTTGTCCTTGTGACATTACCAAACACAACTCAAGTTGTTGTAACTAATTAAACTTTGAAATGTTAGCTGTAGTACCATGTAACCATCTGTAGTAAAGACAACTAAATACCAGTTAAACGTCCAAAAATCAGGATTGCTGCCCCCTAAGGCCCTAATTTCTAGAATGAAAAACAACCACAACTTCACTTTTGCTGCGGATTGCCATGGATCAGTCAAAACAAAGATATGTCGCTCGTATTTTCATGCTTCCAAACAAGTTCAACATATTCAACAAGAGTGAATTCCCAAATGTTCAACATGGATATGTTTTAGATGGCCTGCAGTGCTGCTGCAGCAAGAGTGAATACCCCTAAATTGAACACATCATCCTTGTTTTTCTATGGTGAAAGAGATCACCAAAAGTTAAAAAGGTAGACATCCCACATTTAGAAACTCAAACACTTTGAAGATGTACTTGTTCCTAGGTTTGAGTCTTCTGCGTTCAAATAATCTCTACAAGAAAACAATAAATGGGCAATCATATTCACCTCAGTATGCAATATGGATTTGTACTTACAGTAGATATGAAGCAATTGTCAGCATCATGATTGTTGATGGGTTCGTATCTGTCATAAATGTCAAAAAACATCTCATCTACAGGCCCAAGTAGACCTATACCAGGCTTCAATTCTACTTCTGGCTGATCAGTCTCTGCTTCTGTTGACACAAAAGCAATGTATTTCCCTTTTGGAGCTACATTGTGAGCATAAGAGCAGCAGAACAGGTACCTATAGCAAACATAGATTCAGGAAGAAAAATATTTTAGCTGTAGGGGTTTGGATAGTAATTTGGTTTTTTCTTTTTCTTTCCATTTCTAATCACTTCATACAATTCTCAGTCAACTTAGAATATGGACATAAGCTTGCTCTCTGTGGCAGATGATTTGATGTCCATTGTTAGGCTCAGATTCTGTAGACTAAGGTGTTGCTAATGTTTAATTACTGTAATTGTATCTAATTTTATCATAACAGAAAAATGACCTTTAAACTGGAAAAAAGAGAGACCTATTTAAAATGTGACACTTGCCATCAATACTGTTTTACAGATGATGGATTTAAAACCCATAATACTAAATTCCCATATATATATATATATTCACAGAAACAAAGATACATGAATTCATAGACATCATATGAATCATTGCCAGTAACCATTTATCTAGTATTACAAGAAATCCAGGAGGAAGTTAGTATACATACATATCTGACTTACGCCCGAGTTGTTTCTGTGGCAAGATAACTTGGACAGAGTGGGAGTCACTGGTATGTGGGATAGGGTGGCTCATTATACATATAGCACGAGCAACTCTTCCAACCTTTCGAACCTGTTGCAGTGGCAGGGTATTTGCAACTCAAAAGCCTGTTATGAAAGACTAGTGAAAGCCAACTTTCAATACCACTGCTTATAGATAGTAGAGTGGTCATATTCTACCTTGTCAGGCAAATAGGAAGGATCACACACAACTTTCTTGCATTTGGCAGTTTCTCCTTCAGATGTCACGCCAAAGGCTTTTCCATCTGAATCAAACTCTACCTGACAATCTCCAGTACAAGATATTGTTAGAAGGTGCTAGTGGTCTGACGCTACTATATTTATAGATCATGACTCCCTAACAGATGAAAGTTCAATTCCCAAGTCAAAATCTTGCTCCTCATTTTTATTCTGTGAAGGTACCAATATACAGGGTGAATGGTAGAAACAACATACAATGAGCCGACCGAACTTTGTCATGTCTTGGTTCATTCAACTAAAATATTCCTATATTTGTGTTCGAGTTTGAGTTTAATAGTGTGTGTGTGTGTGTGTATCAAACCAAGGTTGTGAGCCTTTGAGCCGAATATTTTATTGGTTGAATTTGAGTTTGAATAACTAATCAAACTTACACTGAGATTCAAACTTGATTAGCATTGAATTCGAATCGAGCCTAATCGGACTTGAGCATGAACTTTTCGATTAAAGCTTGATTTGATTGCACTCCTATTTTATAGAAAAGGATCCCGCACTATTGTAATTTTTCCCTATGTCTTTCTTTGATTAAACACAAAATCTAGCACAAAAAATCCAGTGCTATGCCAATTTTCACCCCTTTATCTCAGTCAGGTGCCATTAATTTTCTGAATGACAGGAGTAATTATATATTCACCAGGAAATAGGGTTTGAATCCCTGCATATAGGATAGAAACAGTAAGCCCATTTTATCATTTTCCAGATGTTACCTTGCACTCTGGTTTGTTGAGCATGTAAGTACCACCATATACAGCACTTAAACGAGCAAATGCCTGCATATTTTGACACATACCATGTCAAAGATATTAAAAAGATAACCGTACAAATTCTCTCAGTTAGATATGAAAACAAACCTGGGGCAATTCACCTAGTCCATAAAGTGGATAAATATATGGAGATCCTCCTTGGAAACGTGCTAGAGACTCGGCATATAGCTTTTCAAAACAAAGGCCAAAATAGATATCTGATTATAAATCCAACATTGTGCAAAAATATGTTCCAAGAAAAGAAATAACTTCAAGGTTAGTTTACTAAATTTCTATACCAATGCTTGAAAGGTTAATCTTATGGTACTTATTCAATATCATATCATAGGCTCATTTACCATATTCTAAATTATTGTTCCTTTCCCATGGCTAAGAAATGGAAATGAGGTCGTTGTCTTTGGTTATTAACTAGGGAAAACATATCTCTTAATTTAAAAATAAAATGAACAAGTGAAACCTTCCATTCTTTCAAAGACAAACATCAAACAGTAAGAGGAACAAAATGGAATTCCCAACTGCTCTAATACCTATTATGGGCCACTGTTGTGGTGCACTGGCTATAACAGGGAAACTGTGGTTACATTATTTTTTTGAAGAGGTAATTCATTAATTGAAGCAAATAGGGCATGGTATACATTTTTTTGATCAATAACTGAATGATATTCATTAAATAAAAATCAAGAAATTACAAGGAGAGGAGGGGAGATAAACTCTCTTAGCTCCCTAAAGAGGTGAAACAAAAATTACAATATAGCCCAGAAAAAGTTGCTTCTTCCCACCCCTTGCTTGGCCAAAACATCAGCCAAACAATTAGCATCTCTCTTAGTCCGATGCAGCTGAATTTCCATGCCTTGAGGGGCATGGTATACAATTACTTCTTGGATATCATTTGATAAGAATTTTATAACTCCAAAAGTTTCTCTATCTTACCTAAAACACATATAATCTAGCTTACACTGCTGGCTATGAGTATCTATCATCATCTAAGCCTTATCCCAACTATATGGGGTTGGATACATGAATCCTGTTTCACCATTCCGTTTTGTTAGCCATTCCCATTGTTAAATTATGAGCACTTAAAATCATTTCTTACTATTTCAGCTATGATAAAGTATTTATACTGGAATAAAATGTTCATAAACTACAAACATTGACAATAGTGTATGAGTCAATGAGCTCAATGAATTCAAAACTACTAAATAGATAATTAAGATGGAAGAGAAGTGTATTATGATTTTCACCTTTATTCTCTTCACAAAATCCATTGCAGGCTCATCTATGTACCTATCATCTATATGGAGTGCCAAAGCATGACCAATAAAGTCAACCGTGTTGTCTTCCAACCCATATTTCCTACACAAAACAAACAACACTTTACTGTTAAACAATATCACCCATAATTCACGCCCAAGTAGAAGATAGACACTGAAAAAAAACCTTGTGATGGACTTCTTTAGAAAAACGATGTTGGCATTATTAAAATGACAAGGGGCATTAACTGAAAAAGTGAAGTAATCAATAAAGCATGTATTGGAAACATCGACATTGTGCTGTTTGGCTTTTGGGGTTGGAAGATTAAAAAGGAAATAAAAGAAAAGAGTTTGGAAAAGTTTGTGGATGTTCTTACTGAGCTGCTGAGGTTCAAATCCAATCTTTCACTTTCTTACCCCCCCCCCCCCAATGAAAGAGTTTATTCGGGCCAAGAAAAGCTACAGAAAGAGAGGAAAGTAAGTCAACTCATAAAAATAAGCTAACATTCTAGGTTCCACTGCATAGTCCAGAGAAATCAGTGGAGAACTTTTTGAAATCTTCGATACAATAAGTATATCCTCCTCCAAATATTTTCTTCCTTCCTATTTAACTATTCCCTATAGTCTCTTACAATTGTGAAAATCTTGGTCTTCCAAACCAACTATATCAGAAGACTTAGGTAGTAACCTAAAGCAAAACAAGATTCTCTTAAAACCTGTAAAATTTTAAAGATACAAATTATCCATAATGCCCTTACTGAACTTAGAACTTAAAGCTCTAAAGAAATTTCTGCAAAATTCTAAGCTGTCTGTTCACCTAATTTCTTAGGCTTGAGGCCATCAACAGGCCCTTAAATGTGCAGTTCCCTACTTCCCTCTATCATTATTCTTTTGGCTTTGTATTTGAAATATCACCTTTAGAAGTCTGTTTGTATGTTCTTGCATCTACCACAATAGCTTCTAGAACTTTCCAATATTTAGCATTTTAAATTTTAAATTATATTAGTGAAATGCTGTAATCACAAGCCTGGAAGAACCTCCATACAAATCAAAAGAGAATACAGTGTGAAGAATGACAAGGCAAAACTCGTGAACTTGTAGCAATAAACAGCATAGTATGGAAAGGTTTAGCAGCTAATACAGAACAAAATTATCAGAAACATGTAGCTTGAATTATCCTTTGGATGGCATTCATAAAGTGTATTGAATTGTAGAATCTGGACAACATGCTTTAATTGTTGTCAAAATATGATTACTGTCAAATGCCTCTTATTTCAACTACTATAACTAAAAATAGGAGTATACATATCCTAATAATCCTCACATGAAATAGTTCCTTTATTACTATTTTATTTTGGACCATACATGTGGGTGGGTTATGTTGTTCAAAAGCCTAATACACATAACCAGAGAACTATGATGGAGTAGTGGGAAGCACATGGGATGGTGAAATGGAAGGGGAGGGAGAGTGTGCAGTAAATTTGAGAAGAAAGTTAACGTAAACTTGCTGATGGTGATTTTGAATAATCATGAGGCTCTTGGTAAGATCATAATGGACACCCTAGCATTGTCACTCTTTCTATTACCAGGATGCCCTGAGGAATTGAAAACAATTCATGTATGAACCAGCATTCATGTGCTATATTCAACTAGAAGATGGTTACATATTCTTATCTTTTAAGGTACAGGAGAGGACAATAACACATAGAAAATGTTAAAAAGATCAAATGTTTGAATCATGTATTGGAAGGAATGTTCAAGATGAGAGTTTCCTGTCATTTTATGATCAATGCCTTAACAGTGACAGGAACTGGAGCCAAATAACTGCTAAGGAACCAGAATATCTACCTCTGAATGGAATGGGATCTATATTCCATATCACTTATATGTAATAGGAGTGACGGGAGGCTCTCATACCGGATACTTAGCATATATGTGCATTTATTATTAAACATCAACAAGAACATAAAGTCTAGATTCTAGGACACAAAATAAATAAACCTTTCTTTATAAGTTAGTCAAATATATAACTAAAACAATTTTAATTTACACCTATCATTGTTGAATAACTTGTAGGATAACTTAATGTTGGTAAAAAACACAATAATATTTATCATGAATTAACTGTTGCATTCTTAACTAGGAAGAAAAAAGTAATTTTGGGCCAATGACTATTGAATCAACATAAAATTGAAAGAAAGAGACATGAGAATAAGGTAGTTACGAGATAAGATCTTTTGCTTTAACTTTTTTGAGGTCAAGTCCTTCATGAGATTTTGTATCATTCTCTTCATAGTCTTGCACATAAATGAAGAACTTCCTCGCACGACGCTTTTCAAACAGTCCCATGAGTTGTGATTTTAATGCTTCCACATCAGTAGCTGGAACTTTGTGAATCTGGAAATGACAAGAAAGTTTTCTTTTCTAAGCCTAGTTTTAGGAAAGATAAAGACATAAAGTTCAAAATATCTGAACGACAGACTAAATGTTCCTGTTGACAACATATTCAAAGGCTGTAATTTTTGAGGGAAAACAACATACCTTCCCTTTGTTGTACACAAAACTACCATCAACAGCCTTAAAGTTCAGATACTTAGTGACATCAGTGTGGATGAGGACACGAACCAAAGCACCATTTGCCATCATGAACTGCCAAAGCATAGAGTTACTTTCCTCAGAATTGCAAGTGAAACTATAAGAAATAAAACCAGATTAAATGCCAGAAATTTCTCTGCCTCAAGTATATGTAATTCATCTACCTGAAAGAATGGTCAATTACATGGCATATTATTCCACTGTAACATCTTACAAAGCAACTCATTGTATTAAAAGAAAGGGATGGAACCCATGATCAGAAATCCATAATTTGCTTTGTATTCCATTTCATATATAATTCCTGAACACAAGTAAATGTCTAAAACAACTTCATTGCACATGGAAACATAAGATGCATGCGTTACGAGACATTTTGGACTTAGCAGTACATCCTAATAGATCACTTCTTTCTTTATTACTCTTAAAACTCATTAAAATCAGAGAAAATACATTTTTTAATTTTAAGATGACAAGATTATTAAGATGCAATTGGACATCAGCTGATGCTCTGAACCTTTTGGTATTGTTGCTTCCAGGCTTCCTCAATCTAGAGCCATTTTATTTAATGATCAATTGGTAATGAAGAAACTGTAATATGAAAAAACTCCAACCTTTCTCCCTTAACATTTTCTTTATCAATAAACAAAAATACAATGGAAAAATAAAAAGTCTCCAACTTTTTCTGCTAGGAGATGTGGTTCAGACTTTCTAGACCTATTACATTGCCCTTCCCAGAGATTAATTAATTAATTAATACAATAGATTAGTTCAGCCAAGTGTTTCACAAAGTTTTCCTAAGTACTTCCTTAATTTATTGCATCAAAACTAGAGAAAACACTTCACTCATTATTACAATACAAATTTGCTACTAAATGAGATTTCCCCCATTTTTTGAATTACCTGTTAAATCCAGAAATACAAAAGTTTTTTTTTTCCTTTTCACTCTGTCTGAATTTCTGGCTACGCAGTGGTTTGGAAAAGTTAGAAAATCCAGCATGCATTGATCCATTGTGGTTCTCAGATTGCTTATCCTTGATTACTTCATAAAATTTGTATACTTACCCTCACAAGTCTACATCATTGTTGTAGTGCCTCTATCTTGTCCATATATATAAAGGCCATTACCCAATGTTGGTCCCAGCTATCTGGAGTCTTGGGAGGGGTGGACTGGATACAGTCCTAACCTTTGGCATTCTTGTTGGCACAAAGTGGTCACCTCACACTGGAATCTGTGTTCTCATGCCTGACAGCCCAAGATTTTACCATTATACCAGTAATGGCCCCTGTCTTGTCCACATATATCTAAAACTTCATTTGTTACCATTATTCAGGACCCAGAGGTGAAGTTCATATCTGGTTATGCCTTAAAATGTAAGGAAAGTGAACTAATAAGACTTGTGCAATAAAAAACTATTGTAGCACCATGGAGGCCAGGGGGTCATCTTATCTACATAACAAAAGATGCAAAAGTCTCTCAATACCTTAGGGATCATATCAACATTATACTCTCTACTTGAGCCCAAATGTTCTGGAGGCTTGTCATTGCCCCTGAATCGCTTCCAAAGCTACAAAACCAAGCAAAAATGAAACAATATGAATACAAATGTAAATGCATTTCTCAGACAGTAGTCACATGACAACTACAAAATTACCTGGACGAGATTAAGTGAGGTTGATGCTCCTCCATAATAGTCATTCCGGTCCATATGCAACACCTGTTTTGAACAAATAGGATGTAAATGACCAGACCCCTTGTTTTACATAAACCTTTTAAATGCAGGCTAAAGATGAATTCCAAATACCCTTGTGGTATATATAGATGATATGATAAAGTTTTACTTCAAATTATGATGGAAATAAAATGGTTTTAAATAGATTTTGAACAAACCAGATCAGTCTTATTCTAGAAAGTTTATTAAAACTAAATACATTGTAAAAAAGTAAAAAAAAAATACAAAACTAGGACCCAATCAAATTGTATGAATCAGACATATCAAAATCCATTAGTTAAATTGTAGGACTTAAACAATAACTGTAGGATTTGTTTTAGAAAAGGGTTTAGTCATAATATTTGAATTGGAACCTTATAGTTCATGATTTGAATTGTGAATCTTATAATAGATTATAAGATTTTGACAAATCAAGCTATTTTATTTTCCTTTAGGCTGCATTTGTTTTTCCATAAAATGGATGCACCACTTTTCATACTGAAATATTTTCAGCTATTATTATACCATCACTTTTACAGCAAAAAAAAGTTTACAGCGTTTGCTAGTTTTTAATTTGTTTTGGTGTAAATGGAAAGGAAAGCAGACTTCTCATTGTAAAAGGGGCAATATTTGTATCTGAAAATTTTCCATCCGTTTTAGATTGAAACAAAGAGAACTTTCATGATTCTTTTTATTACTCATAAGTCATAAAAAGTCTGCATCCTTGTCAAAAATATATGATGCAGCTGCATAAGGGAAAAAGAGAAAGACAAGAAAGGAGATCTGAAAATGATGGGTATTGAACACTGCCAAACTTAAAAGGCAAATGCTAGATTGGCTTCCCAAGGTGTGGAAAGATTGTATCAACCATCACCTAGTAGGAGATAATACTCAAGTCAAGTCAGCCTTAATCCCAATTATTTGGGTCAGTTACCTTAATTCTGTCCCGCCATTATGCTCTATCAAGAGCCTTGTTTTATGTCAGATAACAACTCTTCAAATAAATCATTTTTTATCACTTCAGACATTTTCTTTGGACTTATCCTAGTTCTTGTAGAGCCTTATGTGGAAAATAATGCCGTACTCAAATAGAAAGAAATTAAGCTAGTATTCTAAATCTATTAAACCAATAAGTCTCAGAGTGTCTATATGGCTCAAACACTAAAATGATGACCAATCCGAATCCCCAACAGCTAAGATCATAGTGTCTTCTTATGAAGTCTTAAACCGAAAAGTGCCATCTTGGATAGGTAGTTGAATAACCTACATTTTACAGCATTTTCATGACATGTGAATAAAGGATCATATATGAGTTCCCCCTTGATTTGTTTAATCAATATTGAAGTTTTGTTTCCTGTAGGCGGTGATTAATCACGGTCATAAATAGATTCGTTAACATCTAAAAGAAAACTAGCTAGTTTCTTGCTTACAAATCCGAAAGGTCTGGACTCTAGATCAGCTTAACATCCGAGCTACTAGGATCAATAGTAATGCAACAACACATATCAATTACCATGATAGAGGTCATGAGTTCTACAAATACAATACGCAACGAGCTAGGATGTCTACTGCAACCTTTAGGCAAGATTAAATCAGGGTTATGAAACCCACTCTGATCAATTTCAACATTGAACGACATTAGCACTTCTAAAAAGATGGATGAGTATTCATTACGTATATATAGAAAAAAAAATCACAAATCAATAATCACCAAAAAAAAGGAAAAGGTAGCGTCGTTCAAATACAACTCCAAGAATGTGCAAAGCAATGGACACCAAGGAAGACGTAAGAAGATGCGTATCTTGTATGCAGTTCTCCAAATTAAACAAAGATTCAAGCACAAGTAGATCATATCTCTCATCGTTGATCGTCGTCAACCGACTAGGAATTCGATGCTGTAAAATCTATGAATGTGCAAGAAGATAATAATGTAGATAGAGGCTTACTTTGAGTCCGTCGACAGAGAGAAGACCACTGAGGATGCATTCCTTGAGACCTGTTCCGAGAACTATGACGTCGTATTCTTCATCCATGGCGACGAGAGTTACAGAGAGAGGCTCAGAGATCGAAGTGAAAGAACGGAAGAGGCAGAGAGAAGCAGTGAATCAGAGAGCAGGTAGGAGAATAGAAGAAGACGAACAGAGCGGGAGAAAAGACCAGAGAGAATCAGTTTTTACGTTAGAGCAAGTCTCCAGCGCGACGTCGCGAGATTACCGTGAAAGTCGGTAAGACCAAGCTCATTTTGAAGTTTGAACAATAATCTCGCACATGCACAACTTTAGGCTGTGTTTGTTTTGATAGCAGGAATGTCGAGGAAAAGCTGGCAAGGAATTTCACCAAATTTGTTAAAAACTTTTCCTCAAACCAAACATAGCCTTAGAAACTACACGCGCATGCATAATTGCATATATGATTCAATGGATGTGCTAAAATTCTGAACATTTTCTACTTTGTAGTTAAGGCCTTGTTTAAAGTGCAATTTCATTTGCACTGATGCAAAAGCATGAGAATGCAAATAAGTTGAGTCCAAAGTTTGGTTTAATTTGATTGTAGGTTTTACTTTGATTTATTTATTTGTAGTGCAGATGACTGTAAAATAAAATTTGAAGCAAAATAAAATAAAACCTAAAAAAATGACAATTTTCTCATTTTGCACTCCCATACATTTGTATTAGTACACAAAAGAAATTTTTATTAATTTTAACACTATATTCAAAAGTATGGATAAGATAAAATGGCAATCTGTCAATAATGGAGAAAAAATTCCCAAATTTCAGTCAAAATAAATACATCCAAATTTTCTATTTTTTTGGTATTACATAATATACACGTTACAAGGGTCGAAGTCCAAAATTTCTCAATCTTCTGATTATAAGAAAAAAAAACATCTCTCATCAATTTATATTGACCAACCCAAAACACAGGTTGCATTTGGTACCATTGCTGTTTCTTCACGAAACGTTTGAGGTTGATCAATAGGAATTGGAGTTAAAATATGAGCACAACCAGAGATATTTTGGGTTGATCAATACTGTTGATACTTGAAATATCAAATTTGATGATTCAACTCTAAATGACTCCCTTATTTAATGACAACTCCCAAAATGTTGCATGAAAAAATTGCATTGATACCAAACACAACCTTAATTTATTTGGGCAGTTTCTAAGTTAAAACGTTGCAACCATATAGGTGGATGGATGATATTATTCACGAGGTGGGGTATAAGGTGATGATGTGGGCAATGGGATTGATTTGAACACATGGTCCATCCAGAGAGGATCCCTTATTTAACAGATAGTTGGATTCGTCATATGTAGGGGTGAGCATTATTCGGTTAAAATTGAAATCGAACTGAAAATTTTAGTTTTGGTGGCTTTTTGGTTAAATCGGTTAATTCGGTCTCCGGTTTTGGTTTTTAAAATTAGAAATTCGGTTAATCGAATTAATCGAACTTTCTATTATTATATATAATATATAGCATGTAATATGTAAGATATAGTATATAATATGTAACATATAATATAATAAAATTTGATTTCATAATATATATTTTATAATATGTAATATATATTATATGTTATAATATATAATAAAGTATATATTATTAAAATTCGGTTTTAACCGAAATAACCAAAACCAAACCGAAAATTTCGATTTTGGTTATTTTGGTTTTTCTATAATTCGGTTTCGGTCTTAATTTTTTTAGTTCAGTTTTTAAAATTTTGGTTTGTTTAGTTCGGTTTTTAACCGAATGAACTCACCCCTAGCCATATAATCTCTTTCCTTCTCATTTGACCCACATATGGGAACCATTTTTCCTAATTTTGAATTGGTAATCCAATATGGGTCTCCTGGTATCCTGGGTCTAGTCTGAATTTGACAACTTTGCTCTGTGGAACCAATGATAATGTTCCATGCTAGTAATACATTCATGGGCCCCACTATGAAAGATGCGGGTTCCATGTATTTTATTACTAGTGTGGAACATTATCATTGGTGTACAGCCCGCTGAACAACCATTGTGTTCAGGTAATCCTTGCTTGTGCAATGGATGAGCTAGTGTAAAACAAATGCCCATACTATTTAGAGTATGTTTGGTTTGCAGTTGGAATTGGAATTGGAATGGTCTAATCCCATAGTCTGTTTGGTTTAGACAATAATGGGAATGGCAATTAGGAATGGTCATTCCCTCAAATGAGGGAATGTCATTCCACTAGGAATGGGATTTCAATTCCACCCAACCAAACAGTTGGAATCGGAATAACCCATTCCAATTTCGATTCAAGATCCCGATTCCTGTGAACCAAGCAGGGGCCTTAAATTCTTAAATGAATTGGTTATGGGTGAGCTTAAATAGCCTTATATTTAAGTTTTTATTTTAAAAAGTTTAAAATAAATTGCAAAATTCTAAAGGGATAGGAAAATAATATGAGGAATTTGAGGTGGACACAAGTGCATCTATTCTCTATATATAAAGCAAGGTTATCCATGTCACCATGCCTCTCGTTGCTCCAAACCCCTCTTCCTAATTTTCTGTTTTTTTTTTAATTTTTTATTTATACCTATTTACCCATTAAACCAATAAGAAAACAACGTAGGCTAAATTATCTATAACAACCAATAGATAAAGAAAAAGAAATTTGCTTTTCTAATGTCCAGCCAAGTGGCACCACTATCCCCCACTTTCTCCTATATTATCTCTAATTTCTATTAATCTCCTAAATTATCTCTAATTTAGTAGAGAGTTTTTCTCCTAAATTATCTATAATTCCTATTTATTCTCTTCCCCACATTTTATCTATATCTATATAAAGAAAGTTTGAATTAAAAAATTTAAGAATTATTTAAATATTATAAAAAAATTACATACTAAATTTAAAATATAAATAACTAACTATTTAAATAATAAAATATTTAACATAAATAAATTTTAAATAATTAAAATAACAAAATGGTGTAATAAATTTAAAAAATTTCTTAAAAGTAGAAGAATAATTATAATAGATTTCATAATACTTAAATTAATAACAAAATTATGTAATAATAGTATAAATTATAATATTATAGATTATTAAATTCAATAAATAATTAATATTTTCAATATTTAAATAACTAAATAATATTGTAGATAACTAATTTCACCTATATCGATTAGTAATTATAGAAAATAACTTTAAAAATTTAATATTTATTAATAATAATTTACAATCTTAAACTATATTTATTATATGTTTTTATACACTAAAATTAATATTTATCATATTTGCAGTAATTACTTATTGTATTTTTTGATAAATATATTTTCAATAATTATGTACAAATATATATTTTTTATTTAGTAGAAAACTTTCAATAATTATTGGAGATTAAACTACTATTGTTAAAATTTTAAATTAAATTTATTGTACTTATTGTATTTTTTCTATAAATTTATTTTTAGTAATTATGTGTTTTTGTTATAATTTATTAATTAATATTTATTAGATATTAAACAATTGTTTGAGATTACACTATTTATTGACCAATTTAGTGTATTTTCAGTATTTATTACAATTTTGTAATTATTGTATTTTTATTAGTTAATTATTATATTCTCATTGTAAATTTATTTTCTATAATTGTGTATTTTTGCTATATATTTTCAATAATGATTGGAAATTAAATTATTGTTTTTATGCCAAAATTAAACAATTGCTATTTATTAGAGATTAAAATTTTAATTTAATTAAAATTATGAGTGTTCAAGGTCAGTTCGGTTCGGTTGTAAGTTGTTTGGCCAACCAAATCGACCTAAACTATTGCTATTTATTAGAGATTAAAATTTTAATTTAATTAAAATTATGAGTGTTCAAGGTCAATTCAGTTCAGTTGTAAGTTGTTTGGCCAACCAAATCGACCTGGTTAGGTTGGGGAGTTGGTCACCCGAAATCGATTAACCATTAGTGAAAATCGATCAACTTGGGTTTTATCAATTTGGGTCAATTTTTGATTTGATCAGTTGGTTCAAAAGATTTAAACTTAAAAAAAGTTAATTTTAAAAAATTAAAGTGGTATTATTAAGAAAGTAAATTAAAAAATTAAATTTATGATATAAAATATTTTAGATTAAGAAAAATGAGAATTTTTCCACTTTACTGTATTAAAAAATTATATATATATATATGTTCTGTTTTGATCGGTTTACGAATGACCAAACTAAAACTAACCCAACTTGATTGGGTTAGGGAATCGTTGAACCTAAGGCTATATAATGGGCTATGTATTCAACCACAAGTGGACATGCCATTGTTCTATACACTTATGGGCTACGAAACACTGGCCTGTTTACTTATTATATAGTTCCTTATACATGGTCTTATGAGCAGCAGATCCTAACTTGATGTCTATGTCTATGGGGCTATTATACTATATGCATTATTTCATATTTAATTTATATTTTAAATTTATTTTTTTTATTTATAAAAAAATTCTAAAATTTAAGATTTGAGATCAGAAACAAATTTTGAAAAATGATTCGCAATAAAAAAATCATCTCTGAAAATTTAAATATGTGTGTAACCCACGACATAGTCACCGGGTCAAACAAATCAATGATCCAACCACCTGTATCAGACACTTTTTTATCTCTAAAATTATTGCAGAGTGACGATTGAATAGGTTCAACCGGCCGAATAAGGGCGGTTTGAAAACACAGATTACTGATTAATGGTCAAACAATCTTTTAACATAATCAATTATCCCTCAAGTGAAGGTGCAGCTAGCCTAATCTGGATCCATTACATGACATTGGGGTTTCGGGGCACAGAAATTTTTGCAAGTCAATCACTCTCGTCTCTACATTTTTCTTTTCCTTTTGGATGATGGTCCAGCGGGGGCGGGAATGGTCACGGTCACGGTCACGCACGCTGAATCAACAGTTTAAAGTTTAAACCTTGTCATCATTCAATGGCCCCAAAATATAGAAAAGCAAATACATTTCTCAAGCGATTCGTTTTTTTAGGGTAAAATACAAAAATTTCCCCTGAAGTTTCTGATAATCATAAAAATATTTTCTATAGTTTTATTTTAACAAATACCTCATTTGAATTTTTCAGAAACTCGACAAAAGCCTCCTTTCCGCCACCATCCCAGATGGAAAATGTTAGATTGATGCATCAGTTTTTTTTTTTTTCCAAATATCCATCCTACCCTTTTATAAATTATTTTACATACAAAATTACTGAAATAATTCCATTTTAACTCAACAAAAATACATATTTCAACTTAATAAATTTAATAGGGAATTAGCGGGATTGCAGTATTAACGGTGGTCCAATTAATTGAACCGGCCACTAAAAGGCAACAATAAAAAGATATGGGAAAAACAGGTAGAAGAGAAGTGACGAAACATGAGGAAATAAAGTGAGACGACACCACAGAAAGGAGTTCAAATCAGCCCCCACAACGTCCCACAGCACATCTCTGTCGTGTATTAGAAATATCTCCCGGTGATAATAACAGAAATGATGATGTCATCATCGGGAAATATTCCCAATACACCACATGAATATGTTGTGGGACGCTGTGGGAGGCTGATTTGATATCCACAGAAAGACCTCTTGAAACTTCATAGAAAAAATGAAAAAGAAAAGGTGGAAGGAGAAACTAGCCATATTTGCTCGAGGGGATGACATAGTGGTGATTTGGTTGTCCCCATTGCTTGGAATTATAGGGAAGCTGGATGTGGGTAGGGCTATAGGCTTGCAAACCAGATAAAGGTTAGTCTGATGTTACTCGGATTGAGCGAAGGATTGGTGTTAGCTGAACGAGCAGAGCTCGATTTGAGGCTATTATTGGAATCAATAAGGGGTGGAGCAGCAAGGTCTAAGGTGTTGGAAATATTTAGGGAAAGGATGGTTGAAAGGGATTTCTATCCAAGTGTTTTTGCAGAGTATATGTTAAGACAAGGGAAAAATCTGATTCCGAGCAAGCAATGGCACGACCAAAACTTCGATTGGAAGAGAAGGCGTAACAGCTCCAGATGATGACAATGGAGACCACCAACTTCCATGACATCATGTACCACTTGGTGATCACGTCCCGGCTGGCTTCGGATGTTTTGAATCACTTCGATTGGTGAAGCTCCTCGGACTCTTCCGGTAAGTCACTGTTGCCGGTGTGCAGTGTGATCGCCTGTGGATGCTTCTGGGCAAGGGAGATTGAACATCCAGGTGAAAAACTCTTTTTCACCAAGGTTGTGTTTGAATGCTGTGAAAAAATCCACCATGTAAAATGCAATTAATGGAAAAAGTCCTTCCTGTAAAAGTCCATCGGTTTAAAACTGCTAGACCATTGGAAGTTTTCAAGTGAGAATGAATGTAAAAGTATATTGATTTTAAAACCGCTGGACCGCTGAGAATTTGTGTCGGTGTAACTTTTACATGGAAAACAAACTGGATATAGAATTTTATACCGATCTATTTTTACATGGATGTAAATGCGAACTGACGGTTGAGTTTTATATCGATTCATATTTAAACCTCAATCAAACATAACCTAAAAAGAAAACTAAAACTTAAACCAAACTTTGCAGCAACATGAGCAGGCATTGTTTACTTTCCTTGAACAGAATTGGAATTTGAAAGACCTTCTAGCTACAATTTCTCTAATGTCATGATAAAGAAAGAATTTCAGGCGGGCCATCTTAATTAACTGCATTAATAGATTGCACCATATTAGAACAATTTGTAAGGTGGGCTCTGAATGGAAAACCTAAAAACCATGCTTGGTGAAAAACTTGAAAATTCTAAATAAGGTGACATTACGGTGAAATTTGTTTTAGCAGCTTTCTCAAAGTGGCCCAGTGAAGGCAGCTCAATCAAAGCGGAAGCCCTTAACCTCTTCATACCTTTACCCGAGCATTTGCTTATAGGCTTTTCACTTTCTCGGTAAAACAGTAAGTCCCACAACGCAAAACCAAAAGCAGCAACATGGAAACCCTCCCGAACAGGCACATAATGGCTTTTTCAAGTGGCTCAGCAACGACAACCAAAGCTCAAGCCCTCCCAAATGTAGAGCTGTAAAACGGGCTGTGCTGGGCTGGTATGGCATGACTCGCATGTGGCCCATGCAAAGTGCGGATCATGCCATGCCTCCCTCCCCTGGGATATTTTCGGGTCAGCCTGGCATGGCCCACTGCCCAAGTCCCTGCGGGCCTGTGTTGTATAACAGGCTGGGCTGGTCCATGGGCTGAGTCCTAGGCCAGGCTATGTTCTGTGCCGTGGACTGGGCCTAATCTATTTATTTAAAAAAATCTAAACATTTTTATTGTATATGAATTTTAATGTATTCAACCGTTTATTTTATATACAATACTTAAATAAAATATTATAATAAAATTGAAAAACAATTGTTTATTATATATATATATATATATATATATATATATATATATATATATATATACACCTCTACCCAAATGGGGCCTGAGTTCCACAAACCCCAAAGAAATAAATGCTCAATCTTCAGTGTCTGCCATGGTTTTGAAAATTAGACGGACCAGATCAGACGGTTGGACTGGTTGACCCAGGAATCAGTCAGGCAATAAATTCTACAGTTTTTAAAAACGAATAGATGATTAAACCAGTCAAGGGTCTGGTTACCAGTTCAAACGATCTGACCCGAAAGGCTGGCCCATTCTGACAAAAAAACAAAATTAAAAAAAAGAAAAGGAAAATGATCAAAACCATTCGAACGGTTAATCGGCCAGTTTCATGATTTGCTGAACAAAATCAAATGTTTTGGAAAAAAAAGCGGTTTTAGGGGAAAACGGAACTAATCAGATGACTGGTTCCCAGTTTTTCCAATCCGATTTTGAAAACCATGATAGATTCAACTTCACCCTAAAACCATTCCTGGGCCAAAAACCACTGATTTGGCTAACAACCCACTGGTGGCAGTTGAACCATCGTCCCGAACGATGGCCTTCGGTTGTTTTTAATTTTAATTAGTTTTTTTTTTTACATCAGAATGTACCATCATTCGAACAAGTTGATCGGACCGTTTGACCCAGGAACCAATAGCCAAAACAGTTGTCTGCTCCAGTTTTTAAAACTTTCGTGGCTACAAATCACATGGATACAAAGAATAAAAAAAAAAAAGAAATCAAAATGAAAGACGATCACCATATATGGGCATTACCCTGAAGGATGTTGGGATGGGAAGAGAAGAAAAATGCACTAGAAAAACCAAACCGCATAAATATGTTTATCTGGACAGAGCATTCTGATCACTTCAACTGTATAGCTTATAATATAATACATACAATTTGGGTTAGATTTCTATTTTAACAATGCCAATACGTTTGATAACAACGATATATCTTGGAGCAGCCTCCTCTTCCTGGCTACACTATTTATCTCTTCCGTCCTTCCTCGCACATTCAGCTAGAATGGTAGCCTGCAAATTAACAAACAAATAGTCGGCGATGGGTTGTCAGTTGATTCAAGGAGTTCAGCTAAGAGAGAAAATTTTCAGTCAAATAGAATTCAACCAACCAACCTCAGTTTAATTTCATTAGAACTCACATTAAATCCAGAAACAAGGCATACTCAGTTACTCACCCCAACTTAAGCGATGTATCAGAACTGTCGTAGTCTTGGGGTGGACCAGAGGAGCTGCAGACATTGGTGACAGAGTCCGACGACTGGCCTTCTTCATAAACTATGTTCTCTGAGTCCGCACCGACGTGCTTTTGTCCCTTGGACATCTCCATCATCTGCAACTAAAATTTTCACCTACAATATAGCGTCTAGGAATCTAAGGAAAAGCGAGAATGCAAAAAAGTACTGGAAGCTCTCACTTGCTGTTTCAATCGCTCATTCTCCTCCAACAGTTCCATTCCCTGCATTCAGATTGAAACGAACTTGGTTTTATTACAAGCAAATTCATTTTCTTTCACACACAACTACTGCGTGCATGTAATCCGAAGAAAAATCTGATCAAAATATAAACAGAAATCCCACCGAAGTAGAAGATCAAAAAGTTGCATTTTACTTCAACCCCAGATTTGGATTTCAACAAATCTATTAAGGTTGGTAAGGAAACTTTTGTGTAAAATTTTGGCGTACTCCTACATGCAAATGCATGTATAATCTATTAAAAATAAGCATATTTATTATATAATCTATTAAAAATTTTGGAAATCTGTTATTCACATGTAAAAAGTTTCTACTGAGAATGCCACATTTTTCCATATTTCTTTAAATAATTTGGTCACACACATATATATATATATAATATTTTTGGTCACACATATATATATATATATAATATTTTTCTGTGGGAGTTGTTATATCACTAGCACAAATCAATAAAGTGCTATCAGTAATTCGAGTTAATTATTTTTCAAAGCAATAAAGTGCTATTAGTATAAATTAATTAAGTTGGCAAAAACCAATCTGGAACATACATGTTTTGATCATCAGTTTCAGATGGACAGTTCGATTGTTCACATCAACAACAGTATTAAACTCTTGGCCCTTGGACAAGACTACAAATCCTTGCCCCAAGACACTAGCCTAGTTTCTAGGCTATCACCGATGATAAATAACCAATACAAATGAAAAAAAAAGAACTAACTAGCTAGGTCAGCTCGAGTAAATTATGATGGGCTTGGCTTGGTTTAGTTGGTTTCAGATAGAACAAGATATACAATATTAAATTAAATATATTTGATAAGATAAATGCATTTTTTTTACATTTTCCTTTAGTTTATTTTAATTTATGGTAGTTTTTGCTCTCCATATTTTACATGATGCTTTGATATTAAGAGCACTACAACACAAAAATATTAAGGTCCCTGTTCACTTTTTGGCAAGGCAATGACCATTTTAGTCATAAAAATCTATTATTAAAATGAGCATTTTTGTCTCATTCAAGTGTTGGTAAATTTCCCCCCACGTGAGAAAGTTATTTACCCACCCAAGAGATGTGTCGTGAAAATAAACTTTCCCTCTTTCTCACATAAATATGAAAAAAGAACATGGAATTTCTGGCCAATAGGAATCAAAATCTCATCCACCATTTCCTCCTCTCAAAATCCAGAAAAAGAACGCCCCCTAAGAGCACTGAAATTGAGGAACTAACCTTTCTCTCGAGGTTACTGATTTCTTTCATAATCCGTTCACCCTGAAAACACATAAAATGGAAAACAAACTTACTAGAGCATACAAGTATTAACCTCGGACCAACTATCGTTTTACAGAAATGAAATGCAGACCGACCTTGGTTTCTAGCACACGGCTCAGTCCCGTTTCAAGGGATTTCTCTAGTTGCTGCAGGTCTTCTATATTTAATCCTTGCAGATCTTCTCCACGCATTCGCCTGACAAGCACGAAGTGATCCCTCAATGTTGATGGTTTTTCTCTGCAACACTTCATGCATGCGAACAGTCTAAATACAATTGAAGACTTACCTCAGTTGATGGCTTTTCTCTGCAACTTCCTTGCTCAACCGCGCATAGTTGCTGTTCTCTAGCTAAAAGATACCACGAATATTGCTAATAAAATATTTATATTTCATGAATAAGCAGTCATGAAGAATGCAATACATTTGGATGAGAGCAAATGAAGCAAAGCAAGACTTAAACCAAAATTTACATTCTTTTCATCTGCACTCCCATGCATTTGTACTAGTGAAAATAAAATTGCACTGCATCAGTGGTTACAACAACATTCACATCGATAAATCACAATAAGAGATCCAAGAACAACTTACCTGCAGCTCAAGAGATGGCTGATCAAGTTTCTGAAGGTTCTTTGAGTGTAGATTATGTCTTTCAAGTATCTCCTTCATACTTCAGAGATCAAGACAACCAATGGCAAAGTTACTGGACGTGATGGTTAGCTCACTTTTACTACTAAATTTCTAACTAAAAGCAAATATTACTATTGCTATAATTATTCAAATGTGGAAACCAGATTAATTCAACCAGGCACGTCTTAACCAAAGAAATTGTATGAGCAGGCCAAAGACTGTTAAGTCTAGATATATACACACAAAATGTAGAATTTAGGAGCTCTACATCCTTTCTCCAAGGCTATGTTTAGTTTGAAGGAAAAAGAAGGAAAACCTTTACAAACCTTGTATAGGTTTCCCTACCTTTCCCTACTTTTTCCTTTCAAACCAAACACAGCCCAAGAGAATTTCAAAGATAAAATTTTTTCCCAGTAGTTTAATTTATCGTGGGGTGGGGGGCATCAATCAAGTCCCAATAGTTAATTTTTACTGATTTTGAACCTACAACACTATCATTATATATATATATATATATATATATATATATATAATCATGTCGACTAGGATGCACGATGTGAAAAAACCAAAAAAAAAAAAAAAATTCTGCTTAAGCAACAAATGAACTTTGTTCGGCGTAAAAAATTGAAGTAACTTTGTTGTACATAACAGAAGTGGCCCTTATGATAGCACATAAGAAAGACCATTACGATCCAAATACAACACCAACATTGAATAGAAATTCAAGGATTGATTTGTTAAATATATATTAGTAGTTACCAGATCTATATAGCTCAGCTGTGTAATTGGTTGTACCCTAAAACGTCCATGGTTAAACCAGTTCAGACCAACAATCTACACAGATGATAAGAAATACAAAGAAAAAAAAAGGTAAAATAAAATAAAAAATAAAAAAAAATGAGAGACCCATCACCCATATATATGTGTATGTATGTATGCATACAATATACATATGAATACATATACGCATGCATGTATATATTATGTATATATAGTTGTTGTTCAACAAAACATATTAGGTATTAAGATGACAAGGAAAGTTACAAAAATAATATGATCTTTATCATAAATGCAATCTTACCCTTCAGGCATCTTAATTTCTGGTACCAGGTATAGGTATGTCTTCTGTATCATGTCGACCAGGGTGTTAATAGGCTGCAAGCCTCGTTAACATAACATGGCAAAAGATAGCTAAGGATGGCAATTTTGGGAAAAATTTTTTGGTATTCAATCCTAATGGAAGCCGATTATCAACACCCTATAGGATTTGACTTTTAACCTTAGGGTACATGATATCTGAACCCAAATATATTTAATGCAGGTAGCTGTTCCCAATGCCCAATTATAACCCCAAATGTATATGTATATATATCATTAAATATAACTAATATATTTTATCATACACAAATAATAAAAAGGATTGAAAGAAGATTCAAACCCTCTCCCTTGTGTCCCATTACAGGCATTTTCACCATTTGCTTACCACACCATTTCTATTTCATAGGGACACTGCATTTTACTCATGTAAAATCGGGTGCAAGGTTCAAAGTATCGGAAACATAAAATATTGAAGAAGCAATTTAAATAAATGTATCTGGAAACACTTAAATAAATGCATCCTTCAAAGGGACACTGCATTTTCTCTATTACTTTCTACTTAACATAATAAAATTTTCTTGTTACCCATAAAAATGTGAAGTGTAAGCTACCCAAATATCTCAAGGAAATGTTGGCAAATGGTAAAATAATTAAAATATGCATGCATATCATAGCAAACTAATATAATAATCATGTGAAAGGTTAATTACAAGGTTTAAAATATACCAAGGATAATAAATGCAAGTGATATGTCATAGTAGTAAAAGTATATTCCCCTATGGAATTAATCACCAGCAAAAGGAATAATTGGTTAAATGAATAACTAAGATTATAGAGACAAAAATCATTCAAAACTGTCCTGAAAATGACTTGAGACCTGGGCATAACAAGAGTTTCAAATCTTGGTAATTCTAGATTAATTTTCAATACCTTTATAAACATTGAATATAATATGATTGCTTCACAATACTAAATTAGCAAGATATTAGAATGCTTGGTGGTTAGAATACTTATGTTTCAAGTAACCTGGGTTTAAATTATTCTAACAGCATATCAATTTTATATAGGAGTGGTTTTAAATTGACTTAAAAGGAAGGGCAATTGTTGCAACTACCCTACCTGTTGTCATCCCTATTGATGACAATCGATCTTGTTTCATGTATATTTAACACTTTCGTATATGGAATAATATTATTTATCAAAGGTGATAATAATTTTTCAAAGAACCATTCAACCTAAAAGTTTAAGCTGTTGGGTGAGGTCTCTCATAAGTTTTTATTCTCGAATGTGCCCTCACGTGAAAGCCCATCGATCTTAAAGTGCAAATTAGAACAAGACCACCAACACATTGTTCTGAAAATTAATTAATTATAATGGCAGCAACAAAATTAGAACATTAGACCACTTGATCGACCATCCCAAGGAACCATTAAACCACTTGGATTAAGAAAGAGGCACACATTATGACACCCGTATCATACTACCCATAATAAAATAAGGTTAAGGTTAGAACTTTAGACTGAGATATACGTTGGAGCATAGTTTCATTGCCAATGTGAATAAGATTAGAACTTTATACCGAGTTTCATTGCCACAGTGAATAAACCATAATCCAGCTGTAACCAATTCTTACACTACCAATTTGAATTAGTGATTCTATATACTAATTAATCTAACTAACATGGAGAAAATCAATGTCAGTACAAGTTGTTTCGAGTATCGACCGACTGGTTAATGATATAGTCAGGATGACACTCGACTTACAGAAATTGTTGACTAATCGATACTTTGACATCAGAGCATCAGATAGCAGCTAGTTAAGACACTAATGACCGAAAAAGGAGTGATTGGGGATTTTGGAAATAGGAGAGCATCCATGGACACTAATCAAAAACCCAAAAAATTTAATTAATAGCAAGAGTTAAAGATGTCATATACATGAAATTGGTAGACAGATGTTGAGCTTCACTAAAAGCTCCCATACATATATATATATAGCAATGAGGTTCTAAAGGATGCAAATATTGTAAATATTGGTAGAGTAAATGAATGGTTTTTATGGTATTAATCACTGTGACACTCTTATAGGAGTCCTTACTCTTTTAAATAAAGAATACAACATCACATCAATAAATTCTTTTTCTTGCAGAGATAAAAATAACGGAATTCAAAACCGCACTACCACCGGGACAATTCATCCAATGCACTACCCCTCTTTATAGGCTGGATGGCATAATACAAAAGCATTAATGCCTTGCACAGGCACAAGTTTGTTATCTATATTATATTACAAAATGGGAAGGGTGGGAGGTGAAAGATCCTCTCACCAAACTCACCCCTTCTCTCCTTTTTTTAATGTGTTTTTTAATTAAAAAATATAAAATACCACAATTAAATTCCTCTTAATTCTCTCTCTCTCTCCCTCTCTCCAATGGTCTGTAGTGTACTCTATAGTCAGAAGCCTGCCTCCACCTTTACGTACATTCTTTTTCTATAGCCTCTACCGAAATTCTATTAAACCCTATGCATCACACGGGTTGCCATGCCAATATCTTGAGAAGCAAAAATTGAAAAAATACATAGATGACTGAGATAGTCGATCTAGAAAGGATGAAGTGTACATTGAGGAACTGATATCCTTCGATAAAAGGAAAAGGGTTTGTCACAAAAAAGTGAAGCAACAGAAGCATTTTGGTGATGGTGGAAAATGGTGCATACACGCTTTGCCAATACATGTTCTCTCACTAAAGCTGTGTTTGGTTTGAAAGAAAAGGTAGCTAGAGAGAGGAAAGAAAATAGAGAAACCCGTACAAACCTTGATTGGATTTTCCTAACTTTTCTTCCAAACCAAACACAGTAGGAAAACACACGACGACAAACAAAATTATTTCAGAAACCTCACTCCATGACTCAAAAAAATAAAAGAAACAGACTAAGTTTTTGTAGGAAATAATGCATTATGCTTGTCAGTCATCTCTTATCTCTCCCATCTGCACTCTCTCTCTCTCTCTCTCTCTCTCTTCTCCATTCTATAAACCACGACTCAAATCTAAAGGTTCTAACTAATGATGGCCCCAGCCATTCAGGGGCTTGGGAGGGGTGGATTGGATATGGACCAAACTTTTAGCATTTTATGTACAAAGTGGTCCCTCACAAACTGGCCTGCCCAGACTTGGCTTTGAGCTCTTACCAAACAATATATAGCATTTGATCTCAAAGCTGCTACATAAATAAGTTTCTTCTCCAGGGAGGAAACTTGATCATCAGGAACAGCATTATTACATCCACATTATTGCACATGCAATACATGCTTTCTTCATCTTTTGTGATAGCTAGGAACTGTAAAAATTGACCCTATTATCTTTACCAAGGCTGAGTTTGGAAGGAGTATAAATACAAATATGTAGAGTGCAAAACCTTATATTTTATATTATTTTGTATGTATTTACACTGTACATAATTGCATTTGTACTGCTTCTAAACTGAACCTAAGGGAAGTTAGTGGCTAGTGGGACAGATGCAACCCTGGGATGTCGAATGGAAAAGGAACAAATCCCATGATACTACACATAAAAGGCCTAAAAAAAAGCAAGGAATTAAAATACAAAAATAGGATTGCAAGATTGCAACAGAATGTACACCAATTTCCACTGCAGATATCAGCAAAACGACATAATTATAAATCACTGGTTGCCACAATTCACTGCTATTCATCCTTATCCACGAACTGAAAATGTTGTGGTAGAACATCCAAAACTGAGAAAAATGACAATCAGGGACACACACAAAATGAATAGGTAAGAAAAAACGATTGGTTTTGGGAGGAAAGTACCAAGATTTCCTTCTACAATTAATCTAAATGATTTGCAATTTATTTTGAAGGTGAAAATAAAAAAAAAATACTAAAAAGAAGAGGAAGGACTAGGAATACAAAAGAAACGGCCACAAACAAAAACAGGCTGCACAACAAATTAAGGATAAACCTGCATAAACGATTTGCAAAATTAAGGGGTAAGGAGGGAAGAACTTCTGCATGACATAAGCACCTAAATGGACCATACCCTTCTAATTAAATCATATAGTTCCATGGCTTAGATAGAAAAGGGTTAATGATTTTGGGGCATTGGCCCATCTTACTTGGTGTCAGCCATCACACACACACACACTCACTAGGTATCTTCAAGGTCTTACAACAAGGACATATTTAGATAAAATAGGTTACAAACTGGAATTTGACACATTTAAGATGGTATATGCAACAGTACTATTGCAAGCAACAATATGGCATCTTCAGATACCTGCAAATTGAAGCTTGGTGAGAATCACAACAATCCAAATAATTTATAAAATAGAATGGGAATTTATGCACTAGGACCATTTTGATTAACCCCAAAAAACCTGATAGAACATTCATTTGATGTGATTTTGGACACAAATGACCCTAAAGAAAGGGATAGATGAACTCTAACTACCAAAGTAAGTGTAAAATGTCCGAACAAAACCCATATAAAATCTTGCTCATGTTCAATACTAGTTTGGGATTACACTAGAATCCCTGTGATCAATTACCCCCCCCTCCCCTGAATATTCAAACAATCACACTTTACCCTCAAATAACTTCTTAGAATTGGATAAAAACATTCTTGCTAAAGAATACCCAGTGTCAAATTAAACAAAAGGCAAACAAAAAAGGTTGGAACAAATGAGAGAAAAAGCATCTGTGTCAGAGTTTTTTTTTTTTTTCATTCATTACTTCCTTGAGTTACGTATAAACGGCTAGCGAGGCAAATCATTAAGAACTACCCATTATTGATGTCACATTGTTGGAGTTCATTTAATGAACTATGAACAATTCATTCACCCCCATCTCCTACAACGCTAAGCTGCGCATCGAGATATTTTTAATCTCACTCGCACCATCTAAAGCCTGTAAATGTCCAGAGCATGAAGAGAAGCCAACCATATGCCATAGAAAATTTTTGCCTTGATCTCAACAGCTTCCCACCATTTCCAATACACCCTAAAGCTACTGTAATTGTTATACTCAAATGGTTCCTTTTGCCTTCCCACACTTGCATTATACTCAACTGATTCCACTCACTTCACAGGCGAATCATTCACTGTTAAAACTGTACCCGAATGTGCATAAGAAACAAACAAATACTCCCAACTGTTATGAAATTCTCAGTGTCTCAACAAACTTAGAGGACTTTCGTTGAACAATTCTCTGAGGAACATCTCGTCATTATCAAAAACAAGGACTGCTGGATCAAGTAGACTGAAGCATCACAGCTGCTAGATACCAAAGATCTATCCCAAAACTCATTCTTTCGACAGTAAGTTCCACCATCCCAGAGTCTCGATGCACGAATCTTTTTAATTTAAAACAAACCATTTTATTTCTTGCATGGCCAAAGGTGACCACAAAAGATTGAGTCTAAAAGGACACCTACGGCCAATATAATATGAAGCTTCAGACCATAAGAATCAAAAGAATTCAGATTTCTCAATCTAGGATTTCTCTTTTAATATTGTAGTGGATATGACAACGAGTCGGTGAAAGCTTTTTTTTTTTTTTTTTTTGCTAACAAGGAACCCTTGAAACATAAGGATCCTGGAAATGAAGTTAAAAAACTTTTGCACCATTAAAATTGGACCAGCTACATTGGGACTATCTCATTCCTGATCCAAACATTTCTTTTGAAACTCATTTCCTGCGTCCAATAATTAACCAAAGCTTGTAGAATTGCAGAGTGCAATCATCCAACGACAGATGGTTGGCATTCTTGAGTATAGGGTTGGATAGATAGATGGTTAGAGGTATCTTGAAGAGCATCTAAAACCAGTAAACATATAACAGCTACGATCAAGCATCTAACACATTACAGTTAAAGAAGAACAGAAGTGACCAGATGGATTTGAAGGAACCAACTAGCAAAATTAGAATCAATAAATAACATCTGCCACAGCACTAATTGATCAGTCACCCTTTAATTTGATGATGAATCAGTTCTCTTTGGTGGAGCTGATTTAGTTTAGCACTTCTGCTTTTTCTTCCTCTCTCTTTTGTTCTGTTTCCTTTTCTCTTCTGGATTTGGGGAAGTCTTGTTAAATAAAAGACATTCAAGGACTGAAAACTATAAATGAAGAGTAACGTATAACATATATTACATATAATAAATGAGAAAAATAAAGCCAGAATACGTAGAAAGAGATGGCATCAATACAGTAATTAATCTAACACAGACCGATTTTGTAAACCATCAATCGACATCAATTAATTAAAATACCCAAAGCCGTATTTCATGTATGATACTAAAATCATGCACTGTGTGAGAAGAACCAGACTGGTGAGAGACAGACAGCGTGATATACCAAAAAACAAAGGAAAAACGGTACGGCCCAAGAAGTTGTTTGGAGTTTTACAGAAGAATCTTGAGCTCCGCCATGAAATGCTGACAAGGGTAAGGTTCCAGTGGCCTGTGCGTTCTTTGAGCCTACGCTATACCTACTCCACATAGATCAAGGATGGATGAACTATTGAACCCAAAAAGGCACACAGAACTGATCTCATCAATTGGAGGAAACCCGGTAAAGGCATCGAGCAAAAACGACATGATCGAAATCAATCGAAAACCAGTTCAGTCTTTTTGAAGTTTCTTGCTTTCGGACAGATGTATACATAACTGCGGCTTCGGTGCACTAGAGTATGATTCTTTTTTATCTTTTATTTTGTTACTTCTATGAGGCTTTTCAGGTTTCCGCTATAAACAGACGATTAGACTCCGAAGCTTCCATTAAAAACCACCGGAGACGAAGACTTGGAGCGACTGTTAAATTTCTACCCATTCTCTCTCTCTCTCTCTCTCTCTCTCCCGATATACAGTGACATGGAAATTAAAGTACGCAGTTAACGTAGTGATATATATTCGTATAAACTACTTAGATCGCGACTATGACTAAAGGAAACGGTGATGAGATAGGAAGAAACCTTGAGCTGGAATACTCGAAAAGCTTTCCAGTTGCAGAGAAAATGATAAGAGCAACCTCAGCATCGCAGAGGATGGAGAGCTCCTCGGCCTTCTTAAAAAGCCCTCTCCTTCTCTTCGAGAAGGTCACCTGCCTCGCAGTTGCGTTGTCGATCTTCTTGATCTGAATCTTCTCTCTCGCCATTCTTTTTTTCTGTTGAATAATCTCACAATCCTTCACACGGAACGAACAAAAACATCAACAAAAACACAGGTCGTCCTATAGATGAATACGTCGAACATCAAAGCTTTCGATAGGGCTAAAACACAAATAGGATTAGGCTAAAATGGGAGTAATAAGAACTGCATTTTTCCAAATTAAGCGAAGAATCTCGCCAAAACCCTAGTTTCTTTGAAAAAAAAATATTTATCCAAGTGAAGGAACCCCAAAAAAAACCCCATCAACAATTCAACACCAACTCACTGAATGTGAAATCCAGAACTGCAGATTGGCTGGTTTCCTTGTTTACCTGTTCGCTTCTGGTGTGGGTGGGATTAACGAGGAGAGAGAGAGAAAACTTGAACACCAGCAACCTCACCAATAAGAGAGAGAATGAGGAGAGAGAAGAAACTCCTATTTATAGCAAAACAGACTTGCTTCTCTTTTACTTTCTCTACAGAAAGTTGAGAAAAAATCCAGTCTACAACTGAGAGAGAGAAAAGACTGGAATTGGAAAAAGAAGCCAGATTGAACAAAAACTGATTTTTAATTTATCACAAGCAAAATTTACCATTTTTTATGTGGACGTTTTCTTTCCGTACGTGTAGCCATGCCGCCATCAGTGCAGAGCAATTATTAAACATTTTGTACCCCTCGCACGCATCTTGTTCCCCAAAAGCAATTTCCCACGAGAATTTACGCTTCGAAATACCCTCCCCTGATAATTTGCTTTTGTGGGGTGTTGGGGTTCCCGTAATCCCAATTAAGCAAAATCTCACTTCAGATGGCTACCTACCTAGCTTCTGGTAAATCTTTTTGCTCCCCAATTTGTCCACTTTTTGCTCTTCTTTTTTTTTTCTGGGCAGGACAAATGGACAATTAATTCTGGCAAATATTTGAAGACGTGGATTATCACTTTGATGTGTGGTCGGAAACTGGAAATCTTGTCGTGTCACCGGAAATTGTAAAAAGTGGAAGAAAAAAAAGCAGTGAGAAATAAATTCGTCTTAATTAATTAATTACCTGTCTTGGGGTTTGGTGAATTTGGTAAGACGTGAGAGAACTTTGATGGGTGTAAAATATGTTGAGGAGGTCTGATGGGTGCAAACTTCGTAGCAGAATCATGAATCATGAATCCAATTGGCTTCCGCGTACATATTTGTTTCCATAAAGAAATCTTTATTAGGAACCACGTTGAGAAGATGGAACTTAGAATTAGAAAACTATTTTAATAGTGACCATACCTTGGTCTCGTAGGTCGCCCTAATGATCCTGCTGATTGAGACACTTTAATGGTGATGATGATGATGTTCTTAAATCAGTAAAGGTCAATTAAGCCCTTGGAAGATTATTTCGACTTTTGGGGGTTAATATTGGGAGCATGGTTTTAAATGTCGGTGGTGTTTTGGAGAAGTGTTGTATGATTCTGTTGGGACGATTGAATGCACCTCAAACTCAAATCATCACTGTAGCTATACATGGAGAACATGAATATCTCCTTTACTTGTACTGATTAATGGGAGATGCTCTCCCTCCATCTATGGTTAAGAAATTCTCACGTAAGATATAGTATCCCTAAAAACAGTTATGATCATCTGCTAATGTAACTAATTGTATAAATCACTAAAATTAATGTTTTAAAATTGGGAATCGGTCACCTTATTGGTTTCAAAACTATTTTTTGGCCAAAAATTATTGATTTGATTAGCACACAACTGATCCGGGTAATCTAATTGGATAACGATTTTTCGTCTTTTTTTTGTTTATTATTATTATTTATTATTTTTTTGTCATAATGAGCCGTTCGCTAGATTTGAACGATCGGACCGTTCGACCCAAGAACCGGTCCCTAGAATAGTTTATTGTCTAGTCCAGTTTTTAAAAACCTTGCTAAAAATTAATGGAAGAATGAATAAATGATTCACCTATAATTAATGGAATGGCCAGTTGTTCCTCATGTGTGCTTATAGTATATTTACGAAGAAGTACGGACAGACTCAATGCAGATTTTTTATTTCCATTGTAAATTTATAAACATTCAAAATGTCAAAAACCCACACTCTATGCACTTATACCTACCCGTGAATTGAAATCAATCCCGAATTGGCACCTACTACAAATTCAGGGCGCAATTAAATTGATAATCCAAGACCTAATGGTTTTTTTTGAACAAGATCAAACTTACTACCCATAAACTCTTTCCACATCCCTACCCACAAAACATTATACATTCAGAATATCTCCCCTGCCATTCAAAGCGAGATGCTCCCAATTCCAGGCACTAGTTTTGTGGGTAGAGATGAGTAAAGAGTTTGTAGATTGGAGATCAAGAGGAATTCTGAGAATATAAGACCTAACGCGAACACAGTGTGATCAATCAAAAGTTAGTATTGCTTTTTGGGTCTTGGTTAAATGATGATTTTCGTAGTTTGAATGAAACCATTTCATTAAACCAACAAAACCGTTGCATTGGATGATCAGTTTGGAAAGAGTATAAATGCAAATATGCAGTGTTATAAATCTTATTCTTTTACAATCTTCCCAAATTGAGACTGTTGCAAAATTGATTCAAGTAATGATATAATATTTGCATGAAGAGGATAATTTCAGAATATAATTTTGCGAGAGAGAAACTTTGATGCCTCGACAAACTTAAAAGGATTCGTTGTACGAGGAAGTGTCACACCATACCAAAAGCAAACAAGACATTTTAGAATTTAGAAGTAGAAGTTGATGAATTGAAGACGAGTGTGTGAGTATAGCCAAATCATGGGCTTGACTGAATGAGAAGCCACAAATTGATATGAAATTGAACTATAGGCTTAGATTGGAAGGAGTATAAATACAAATTTGTAGAGTATAAAATCTTGAATTCATATTTGTATTTGTACTCTTTTCAAATTTAGCCATAGCTTCAGTTTGGAAAAAGAACAAATAAAAATATAAATATGTATAGTATAAATATATATCAAATAATATAAGATACAAGGTTTTGCACTCTAGGTATTTGTGTTTGTACTCCTTCCAAACTAGACCATATCTGCAAGAAGTAGATGGATCAAAGGAAAATCATCACAAGGATCAAAAGGATCAATCATTATGGACAATGAATGAGATTGGTAATTAAAGAAATGTGATGCTCTACAAATACAAGTTAGGATTAGCCAAATGCATTAGTAGGTTGTAGAACGCAAGGTTCAAAGTATCAACATGTATCGGCCCATATCGGCCGATATGTATCATTTCGGGACCCCTCCGATATGCCCCTACAGTGGGTGTATCGGAGGTCTGACCAGTTCAAGGGGTAGAGGAGACTTAAACCGGCCCCCTGAACCGGTTGTGAAAAAATAAAAAAGGGACCAAAACGTGTATTGATTCACCCGATACGCCCTTACCAACGTATCAGGCATATCGATATTTTGAACCTTGGTGGAACCAATAATAACATTCCACACTAGTCATAAAATACATGTGTCAACAACTATTCAATCTCTCAGCATGGGTCCCATGCATTTTATCCCTGGTATAAGACATTATTATTGGTCCCACAGCCTTCTATACGGCTAAAGGGTTCTTCTACTCAGCTAATCCAATTTTCGTGGATACACAATATAGAACAAGGAGACATGTGGGTAGACTTGTTCATGGACCGGGTGCCCCGACGGGCCGGCCCGGCCCCCGGACGGGCTTGAACATGTTTATAGGCCCGCGGGCTTAAATTCGGGTCAAAAAGCCCAGCCCACAATAAATTCGAGTCGGACTTGGGTTTTGTCAAAATAGCCCGGCCCGACCTAAAATTAGACTTAAAATGGGTTATGTGATTAATGTCCATTTGAATAAATTTTTTGATTTAAGAATGTAAAACTGTATTTTAAAACGTAAAAGAAAAGGAAAAAAACCATCTTGTAGGCCCATTGTTAATTTAAATAGAAAAAAAAAACCATCTGAATTTTTAATTCTAATTTGAATAGGGAAAATTGTAAATTTTTTTATTAGGTCTGGCTTCGGGCTCGGGCTCGAACTTCGGGCTTTTTATCAGGGTCGGGCTCGGGTCCATGTTATAGGCCCGTTGGTCAGGCCGGGCTCGGGCTCAAGCCTAGCGTATTTCCATTAATTATGAGTAAAAGCCTGGCCCTGCCCGACCCATGAACTACATGTGGGTAAAGAGTGCAATTAATTAAGATGGTATTTAGTATCATGGTGTTTCGTAGGGGTGGCAATTTTTCACCCAACCCACCCAGAATCTAACCCACCCACTTACTTGGCGGGTTGTGTGATCAACCCATCACCCAACCCACTCATTTAAATGGGTTGGATTGTGGATAACCGTTGGGTTAACCATTACAAACATAAGTATTAATTCCTTAACCTTTTTTTTATTTTCTTCATTTGAAATAAATAATTTATAATTAAGGCATTAATTTTCTATTAATTGTTGACTAAATTTAGTTTTGTCTTGAATCAGCATACTTCACCCAACATAAATCCAAATCAATTTCGCCAAGTCCGGATCAGTTCAACGCATTCTAACCTGACCCGGGTCAAGTCAAATTTGAAATTGACCTCAAACGGGATGGCTTGGTACCGCTTGCTTTGCGTGGTTTGGGTCATCCAGTCCAACCATTATTCACACAACCCGCCCGACCCGACACAAGATGATCCGGGTTGACCCAAATTCGAAGCGGGTCGGACCATATGAAGTCTAGACCCTACACCACCCCACTTGCTTTACCCGATTTGGATCATCGGTTCGGCTCGTATCCATACAACCCGACCTGAATCCGGCCTAGGTCAACAATGCTAACTGACCTAGATCCTTTGGAGCCTCTAACTTGGGACCGACCCAAATCTGGCTCGGTCTGATCCGATCGAAGTGAACCGGTTCATCCGGGGTCTGGTCTAACTGAGTTGAACCGGCCCGATCGGGTGTGGTTCCGATCGGACTGAATCTGGTCTGTTCAGGTCTGGTCCGAATCGGTTCAGTCAAGACCTGGTCCAGCCGAGTTGGTCCAGATCTAAACGGTTCAACCACTCTTGATGTGATTAGCTCAAAGACAATCCAATTAGATAGTTCAAGTTGGTATGACCGGTTTGAACCTAAGTGGTTCGTCAAATCCGAAGCTCGAACATAGTTAAATGGCTTTGTTGTTGGTGTAAAAATAATGCATGTAATGTGATTTAAACCTTCACCACTTGTGTAAATAGCAACTACTATTACCACTAAGCTATGACCAACTTATGTATTAGGATGGAGTTAGTTTTTGGCTTTAAATACATAAATATAAGATTAATGGGTTTGGGTGGGTTGGATTGGGTTAAAACGGGTTTGGGTTGAATCCAACCCATTTAATTTTACATAATTGGGTCATTAACGGATTGACGGATACAATGGGTTGAGTTTCAACTCAACCCAAACCAAACCCAATCCAACCCGCCCAATTGCCACCACTAGTGTTTCATATTGAAGCATTTCAGATTAAGGTGGCATTTGTCAAGCCTTTTTAAAATAATATTCCA